AAAAGGTCCAAGGCACTTATTTTTTTGGTTCCAAGATGGCGTTGACAATTTGGAGCACCACAGTGGCATTTCACTTCAGGTCCAAATTGCACAAATCTTCATGATGAAAAATCTTTGTTCAATATCAAATGCAACATGCACATTCATCCACACCCAAAAAGCTTCTCAAGAAACTCAATGGTAAGCAAGCTGATCAATTAACAGTTGTAGTTTTAAAATGTACCCCATAATGTTAGATTTTCCACACAGCATCAAGATGATTTCCTTGTTATTTGAAAGTATGAATAAAGCTTAGACCATACTTTTTACGTACCTGTAGTCATATGTTAATGGCTCTCCAACCTCGATTGATCGAGCAGCAAAGACACCAACATGTGTTTCTCCCTCAACTTGCCTATTCACAAAACCAAATATTATTGGTCAGAAAATCTTGGACTAGTACGATGAGGCAAGCATGGAATCAGTACTTGTCTGATACGCACAAATTGTTCTTTAAAAGAATCTACAAATTCATAACAAACAATTGCAAGTCATATCCTTTTTTAGACGAATACAAATCGTAACCCAAGTGCATGAAATAATAAATTGCAGGAGGTAATACAGAGGAACATAGGGATCTTTAGTTAAAACGATATCCCAACTGATAAACACTTGGAAGATGAGTCTGTTGTGAGTCGTGATTCACGCCAGACTTCAATTAATGCGCAATCCAGAGTGCGGAATGGAACTTACAACGGCATTTGCTATGAATCTAAAATTCTTCTCCATATAAAGTTTATAATTTCTCAAATACTTCATATGTATCATGAATATAAACATATACGGGATGGTACAGCATGATTATCATCTTTTGTCCCAGAAAGAAAAAGATGATAACTGTCTTTCTATGGCCATGCAAAATCTCCAGCACGGAAAATTTAATTTAGAATATTGAAAAACCAATAGACTCTACCACAGCAAGTGCGAGAGTCTAACTCCATCTAACCGTTGACCAATGAAAATGGCTAGCTTCAAATTCATTAAAGGGAGGGTTGAGAAACTAACAGTTGACTGTATGGTCATCTTCTCCAACTTGCGTGCGTGCCATTCTGCTTTTCTTTTTTCTTTTGCTTTTTTGAAAAAAATCTTTTATTTATTTTCTTAAAAACATATTCACCAAGGAGAGGGTAAGAGAATCCAACAAATTAAATTGTTTGTGAATCGAACTTATCTGTCACTTGCTGACACTGCATGCTGCCCATTGAACAAATACAATAGTCCTGTCAGCCAGCCTAAAGAATAAAGATACAGATGTAGAAGTAAAACTTAAACTAGAAAGAAAGAAAGAATTATAAAACAGAGAAAGTGGTCAAAGACAAGAAAACTATCTAGATAAATAAGCATTAAAACAAGGTAACTTCATTTTTCAAGGGAAAAAAACAGTATACGCCTGAATGACATACAGTGTCACAATGCTAATATCTTCATTGCCAAATAAAACAACCCAAGACAATAAATCCCTCACGCAACCATTATTTTACATGGATTTTTCCAAGAACAAAAGTATTCATCCCTCTAGGCATGCTACAATAGAGGAAGTGTTTTACTTCAAAAGAAAAAGGTGATCATTTCATTTCACAATTGAAAGCGACCACAAGAAGCTACTACCTTGGGCACGGGCATTCATCTGAAGAACATCTAGCACTCTCAAATCGGAAGGTGTTATATTCATTTAAGGCATCGCACATGATATATAGTAAATACAATTAGAGGTAAAAGAAAGAAGAAATCGACCTTTAAGTCCACATGCCAGTCGGATGGATGCCTCCAGCATATGGCTGTTCCAGGTTGATTTTTTAAATGCACCACTTTATCTGGCCATGGTGCACATTTATCATGCGATGCTATAGTACACCGTATGCTTTTCCAATGTAATCTTTGTTTGCATATAAAGCACTCCTGTTTAACACCTAAAAACATATATTTATATAGACACACATATCAGCTGGTTTTTTCCACAATTCCACAAATATCCTGTCTTCAAGTGCACTTACAAATATTCTACATTCTAATATAAAAATGTCATGAACTTGGAGTTTCAATGACATAGAATGCAGCAAGATTCTTGTAAGCTATATAATCATTTGTTTTCCGCACGAGGAAGATACAACCATATTAGAAAGATACTATCATTCAAACAACTAAATACGACTACAATTGTAAACATGCGCTGACTACTTAAATGATTAGTGCCATCTTAACCAATATTTTTCTACTTAGTTTACATTAATTCAAACCTTGATTATTCTAAATAAAATTGCGACAATACAAGTATGTTAGTAACATTTAAATTCAATCTCAATAGAAAGTAGTTCAACAAATAATAATAATAATAATAATAATAATAATAATAATAGAAGATGAAGAATGTAATAATAAATAAATAAATAAAATAAATATATGGACTTGTTGTTTTGGAAGAAGTTTGTATTTAATCCTCTAGGAAGGGGAAAGTTGATGAAAATGAAATCAACTTTTTTAATCTAAGATGAACAAAACTCGTTCAGGTGCAATAAATCATACAAATATTGAACTAGCTTGGAAAAATGTCCTTAGACAGATAGGAATGATCCTAATAATCATCTTATCAGAAGATATTGAAAATTTGAAGAAAATAAGAAAAACAAGGGAGTTGTTGGCTAATGATGTCAACATCTAGCTTAAACTACTTGAGGACTGTGTTGTAATGAAAACAGAAGAGCGCTTTGTTTGGAAATGTTTGTCTGTTTTAATTATGAAAAGAAAGAAGGTGTTTTTTTTAAGATAGAATAGAATAAGATTACATGTTGAGGGCACTTGAACGTTCTGTGACCTGAGAACCCCAAGCTTTTCTTTGCACATATACCATGATAAACTCCTCCACAGCCACGAATACTGCATTCGATCTCCTCTCCGGGAAATATATATCGACGGCAACACAAACATTCTTTTTCTACCTGAAGCGGCCAGTAGAAAGACAAATTTAATTGGCATAAAATTTTAGATTGCACATCAAGCACCATGGATTCCACATCAAAAAGTGAAGAGACCTCATAATCTTTATAATAAACATGGATTACTCCTCTCATTGACAGTTGATTTTAAAATGGAACCTATATTAGGGAAAGAACAAGCAAACTAACTTACTCTGATCAAATAAACTTCAGTGGATCAATAATTTTCGTCCTACGCTACTCGAATATAAATTTCTACGCGCGACATCTACATTATTTCCTCCCCAAGCACTTCTCAAAGGATAATGAACTTCTCCAATATCATACTTGCACGAAAACATTAGGCTCAGTTTCAAAAACGTCTTCTAGAGCTTCATTCCCTGTTAAGTTAAATAAAAATGAAGTCCCCCGGCTGGAATGAAGCAGAACGAAACTACAACGAAGGAATACATGCTAAACACTAAATCCAGCACCACGTTGACGAATCTACCGGGTCCAGTATCGTAGTACGTAAAACGTAAAAAGAAAAAAGAAAACAGGCAGAAAACATCACCATTTTCCGAGCGCCTACAAGAAATGGAAATGAACGGCGAGACTGGGGAACGCCGGACTCTAGCTTTCTCCGAACCCAAGATTTCACATGATCTTCCGAAGTCTTCACACCGCAATTCCTTTTAGATCGGTCCAACGCGTCTCCTCTGGCCCTCGAAACCCTAATCCCATAGTTGCCACCGACCTCATCGTCATTGGGGAGCGGACATGAAAACCACTGGTCCCAAATAGAGTCACTGGGCATATATTTAACTGATGCATTGCAGATGACTGAAGACAAAAGATCAGAAGGATGAGGGCTGGTTTGAGATCAGCGCCGCGGGTGAGCGTAAGAGATGCAGAGAGTGAGAGATTACCCAAGTCTGGCATTTTCATACAAAAAACTAAGCAAACAAACCAGAAGCAGAGGAGGAATGTAGATGAGACTAAATTGGGCGGGAAGGCTGCATTATATATATATATATATGCACGGAGAGGAGACCTGATGAAACTACGATAAAAAACCAAACTGTTGATGTGAATTTACGAGCTTACCATCGAACGCGAGTTTGGTGGGTTGGTATTTTAAAATTTAATTGTTACATTTTTTTTTTTATTTTTAATTGAACAACTGTGACTCTTTTAACAGTTACTTACATACGCTCATCGTTATAATTTTATAATATTGTCATTTCATCACTAATTAAAATGAAAGGTTAGGAGTTTAAATCTCTAATTTTTTATTTAACTTATTATTACGTTTATATTTTAAAAAATACCTGCAATAGAGCTGATTTGCTCGAGAGGTTAAGGAGAAGACTTAAGATCTTCTGCCCTTGGAGAAATAAATATTGGGTTGAAGGTGAACAATTTATAGTTTTTTTAACCCAATTTATATAATTATTGTTTTACTTTATTATATATTTTATACTATATTATGTAAAATGAGCGTGATTTATTGAAGTTCCTCTGTTTTTCAAGTGAGAAACAAAATTCAGACATACCAAATAAACTCTAGTTTTACTATATATATATATATATATATATTGAAAAATAAAAGATAAAATATTAATACATGGACAATAAAGCTGCACACAAATTTCAATTACCAAAACAAAAGAAAAAGGAGAAAGGAAAAAAAAACCTTTGGATTCTTTCGTGTAAATTGCATGACGAAGAGATGGTTAGCTCTGACAGAACAAAAACCAGAAGAAAAGGGCAAATGGGGCGGTGATCAGAAGCACCCGTTTCTATCTACTCTCACCTAAATTAACGCCAATAGCCCAATCAGCTAAATATTTATTTTCATTTTTAATTCTTCAACCAACAGTTGAGAGCCGCGTAGTCAACTTTCGGATCTCATTATTTTCTAAAAATAGTATCGTGTACACGCAACATACCCGCCCTGTTGCATTTTTCATATTTTCAGGAAAAAGGAAAAATAAAAATAGTGAGAAAAAAAGAGAAATTAGTTGGTTAAACAAAGTCGTTATCGCTTATAAAAACGGAGGAACCATTGGGGGATTTTAAGAGAACGAGTCTACCCGTCAACCGCCGGAGAACGCAGATCCAGCGAGATTCTGCCGGTTATTCGGAGCAACTAGAACTAGATTCAACGGACGGGAATCATGAACTGCTATCGGACACGAGGAGAGAGTAAATGCGACGATCGGCGGGATGCGGAGGTTAAATACGACGAGAAGCAGAAGAGGACGAATGAAACGAGGTCGTTCCAAAGGCGATTGGTAAAGTACAAGGACTTGCCGGAGTATCTTAAAGACAACGAGTATATACTGGGCTCTTACCGGTGTGAATGGCCTGTGAAAGAGGCGCTCTACAGTGTATTTTCATGGCACAACGAGACTCTGAACATCTGGACGTAAATGCCCTTCCCTCACTCCCGTTTTCTCTTTTAGGTATTCGTTCATCTTCGCCGATTCGCGTGTGAGTTTGCTGATAGTTGCGCTTCTCATTTGAGCAGCCATTTGGTAGGGTTTTTTATATTCGGAGCAATGATTGTGATGACCCTGATGGAAGGGACGGAGCTCGGAGATTTTCTGCTCGCTAATTTCTCCAGGTACGCGAGGCTAATCTCCGGAGGATTTATGATCCATCGTCCGTTAACCTTCATTATTGTGAAATTCTGCGATCGAATGGATTTAATATTGATAAGGATGAGTAATTAGCCCGGCAATTGGTTGTTTTTGGTTTATTGTCCAGAGCTACAGTTTCGGGGCCATTCTGGACGACCATGGGTATGGAAAAGGACGTCAACGGCTCTGATAGCATTATGCCAGTAAGCTTTCTTTTGGTTTTTTAGATCATTGTTATCTTTTTGTCATACTTTTCTTCTCCTCTTTTATGGTCGGTTTTAGAGGCGTTTGGATTGGATGTTTGATGGGCGGTTTGCGAAATTAATTTCCATTTTTCCTCTACAATTATTAATTCATTCATTTCGATGATCTGTACAATTAATTGAGCCATCACAATAATGAAGTACAGAAAGAAAAGGTAATTAACTTGTGAAAGGCAAATGAAAAAAGTCATCATTGAATTGGATTAGTGCTGGAATGAAGCAATTTTGTGATTTTGGACATAGTTCGTCCGAATTCATACTCAAAATTCACGTGCTAATGAAATATTTGGAGGAGTCGTGCAAACTCGATATGAGCTGTATAGTGATTATTTTTTATGTCAATTGGGAGAGTCGCAAGAAAGGAGAAATAATTCATTCGTCAACTACGGAAAGAAGATGTCTACACGTTTTGGCATGATAGCGAGTGAAAAAATTAGTTGTCTTTTTCTATTTTTTTCGTCTTGATTTTCTTGATTATTACTTCATTTTAAAACTGAAATCAGAATCTCAAGCCAAACAAGATATTTCATTGTTCCTATTTGAAAAAGTAGCGATCTTTTTTTCCTTAAAAAAGTAGAAAGTTCATTGATAATGTGCTTCATTGTGGGACGACTTTTAGGTGAGAATTGAAGTGGACTGGACTATTTGAAAGTTAGATGAACTTTTGTTCGTTTATTTGCAGGAAACAAGACAAGTCCCACAGTCATCAGTTTTCTTAGATAGAGCGGATAAAAAGACGGACTTACCAAGATGGCCGTGGTTCGTTTTCTTGGCTGGTGCCATGGGTTGCTTGGTTTGTAGCAGTCTCTCCCACCTCCTGGCTTGTCATTCCAAACGCTTCAACCTTTTCTTCTGGCGCCTGGATTATGCAGGCATTTCTTTGATGATAGTTGGATCCTTCTTTGCTCCCATTTATTATGTCTTTCTCTGCAACTATTATCCTCGTCTCGTCTATCTTTCTTCGATATCGGTGCTCGGTGTAGCTGCTATTGTTACTCTTCTTGCACCTGCTCTCTCGGCCCCTCGTTTCCGAGTCTTCAGAGCCTCCTTATTTCTTTCCATGGGCTTCTCAGGAATAATTCCCGCTACACATGCTGTTGCTCTCTACTGGGGCCATCCGGATATTTATTTTGCCTTCTGGTATGAGCTTGCCATGGCTTTTCTATATGCTGCTGGAGCTGGGTTCTATGTTAGTCGAATACCAGAACGATGGAAACCCGGTGCATTTGACATTGCAGGACACAGCCACCAGATTTTTCATGTATTTGTTGTTCTAGCAGCACTGGCACATAGTGCAGCAACGTTGTTTATTATCGATTTTCGACGGAGTTCACCCACCTGCAGCTCTTAGGCATTCCTTGATGGCTTAGCTAAGCCACTAAGTAGGTCAGAGCGAGCTTCTGGGACATACTCATCAATCTTCTCCGAAAATGTATTGATGTAAACTGAAACAACTATTGTAGCTCTTCAGTTAGGGAATTGCAGGATGTACACGCCCCATGCTATTTGCTTGAAAAGAATTCATTTGCTCTCGAAAAAGTAGGAACCAACATCTCATTCTATAGGAATACAAATCACTTGTACACAAAGTACTCTTAAGAAGCTTATTTGACAAACTCACGTGTTCATGAAGTTCAAGGGATTGAAGGTTTCACAATAGCAAGTCTTTAAAAAAAAAAACTCAACTTTAAACCCATCCGAACCGAACAAGTAGTGTCACTCGTACATAGGTCAAAACCAGATTTCTAGAGACAATTCTAATGAAGAATTGTATGTTAAATGGTAGATATCCAATCAGCTCAGAGTGGCTTCACTTCTGATCATATGAGCACAATTTCAAGTCTCCTATGCAGCTATCAGTCCAGGAATGATCTGGGAAGTATAATTCATCCAAGCATCGTTTCGTTTTTAGGTTAACATTATGACCGGATTCGAGGAGAGGAATTTACAGATAAGGAACAGATATCAATAAACAAGAATGCTAACGAAATTGTTCCTTGCTTGTGGTATATTTCATCAACATATTAAGCAATCTGCGACACTTAAATAGGTAGACTTCTGCTACGTACCTAAACTGCATGTGTATTCACATAGCCTCGATTGCAGCCGCTTGTACTACAGCAAAAGAAACTACCACTCAGCAACATTTGTTATTTGTTTCAACTTGACAAGAGTTCGTTAAATAATATTGCCGTCTCGTAACGCTCTGCACCGCGAACAAAATTATCTGAGGTAATGCAAAACTGGTGATTCTCCTTTAATAAGAAACATCAACAATCTCAGCTTCATTGTCACTGTAATCTCCCCAGCGCTTGCCGGACTTGTTCTGCACAACCACGTCCTGGGAAATTTCTTTTTTTGCAACAGGAGCAGTGTCAAGGAGCTCATCTTGACCTTCAGAGAGCGAGTGAGCAGTGTCTACAGATTGAACATGTGGCTTTTGCTCCATTTGTTGTTGATTCTCACATTCACCATCAGTTGCTGAATTAGTCATATCATTACTTGTTGCTTCTTCAGTCTCATTTTTTGTTTCAGAATTGTCTAAACCCGTTGGCGATGCATCTGCTGGACTAATTGGAGATCCCGGAAAACCATTTTGTGTCACCGGAATACCATTTACTGGTGCAGGATAACCAGTTGGGGACAGCAGGATACCATTAGGGGGATACGGAAAACCATTTGGAGAAGCCAAATATGCATTTGGAGATACTGGATAGCCATTTGGAACCCAAGGCTGGGCTGGTACAAACTCAGCTGCATGGGGATTCATAATTCTAGGAGCGTTGAAGAGATTCCCATCCGCAATATGATCACTATTTTGTGAAGCTGGTTTATTACGTGGAACCCGATTACCAGACCGATTGTAGCCACCGGATAACCGTGGACCATAGGGGACCCTGGCTGTTGCTGACTGATGTGGTGATCTGCGAATTGGATTAACAGTAAGCATTGGAGGAATATTTATAGGTGGAGGCAAAATACCTCCATGATCTTTAAATCCTGGACCTGAAACTGAGCCAAAGACAGGAGTTGTAGAAGGATTGAAGGGAGGTGCAGTAGCAGAAAGTTTCTTAGTTGTTTCCTTCGCAGCTTCCACTTCATCTTGCTTCTCTACTTCAACACTGTCAACTGCTAAATTATTTTCAGTCGCCTTTTCTTTTGAAATAGATGAATTTTCTTCACATGAAGCATAATCACTTTCTATTTGTATCGAAGCCTCAGAACTTTCAACTCCCAATGGAGAAGGATTTCCAGCAGCATCAACTTCTATTTCTTTACTAGGCTCGTTAGTCACCTCCTGGACTTGTGCAGATGTAGATTCTTGTTTGTCAGTGTCTGTAATCTCATTAACAAGACCTTCAACTTTTTGTTCCGCACCAATTCTCTCAGCTGTCCCATTCTCTGCATCTTTTACAGTGGCCACTTCACCAAGAGTGAGCTCAGTTGTAGCTTTGTCCGGGCTCTCTTGTGAACTCACTTCAACATGAGTTGGTCCTTTAGTCAGCTGCTCTGTTGCTGCCTTTACAATAGTTCCAGGTGGAGCCAATGCAACTTCTTTGTATGAGAAAAGTTTCCCAGCTACCGGAACACTTCCCGGAGCAGCCAGAGATGCAGATTTTGCAACTTGATCAGTAGTTAAGGCAGGAGAACATGGTGCTGATTTGGGGTCAGACAGTTTTTCCATACTTCCTGGACTGAAAAGGGTAGTACTAGACTTGGAACTGAAGCTTCCACTCTTAGTCATTTTTTGTGGAACAGGAATGGATGAGCCAACTGAAGCTGTAGATTCAGTTGGGGTGGTTGTTCTAGGGGACACAAAGCTATTAGGCTTTCCCCTATATCTTGACGATTGAGATACATTGATGAAATTAGTATTCAATTTGGCCAAGCTTGGTCTCTTTGAACCTGAAGACTTCCGACCTGAAATAGAACGTCCTTTAGGAACAGCCTCTTGCCAACCATCATCTGAGGCCTCGTCTTGCACTTGATCATAATTTTTATTAATCTTCATAACATCAAACAGAACTGTGTCAGATTCTTCAATTACATGTTCCTCCAATGGGGCTTCTTCAGATTTGTTTTCTTTATCACTTGGACTCTCAACGGCGGAATAACTTGGCGACAAATCTTCATCCTTCTGGAATTCTTCAGCGCCTGTTTCTGGATATTGACCTGATTTTCCTTTGATCTGTTCAGAAAAAGAAGCAAACAGTGTCCCAACAATGAGGTAATGTAGGATGTTTTCCTTTGAGTTCTTTGAGAGACAAGAAAAAGGATGATAATTTGAACCTTTGCACGAGCCTTCCTCTGAGCATCTCTGGCTTTTAAATCTGCGTCGGGAGCTATATAATCCAAGAGGTCTGACACACTAACCAAATGATGGAAACACATTAGCCTTTTTTTCTCAATATAAGATCAATTTTGGATGTCAACTCAATTGCATTAGGTCGCCATACCTTAAATGACCTTTACTGGAGATGGAAGCATCTGGCTTAGGGGTGCCATTCCGAGCAGCTTCCTGCTGCTCCAAGGCCTTCGATTCAAAGTACTCAAGCCATGCAGCTGCATCCTGCACCACTTAAATTTCCTGAGTTTATGGCTAAAAGGTAGAAAATACGGCTGCACTTTAGATTTCATATCTAACCTGAGTACGCAAATCCTCAGATCCAAGCTTGGCCTGTAGTATTTGCAGAGTAGTTTGCTCATGCTGAACACTTAGCGAGTACGCTTCCATTAATGAAAGAGCAATCGCTATCGCATGGTAGCTCGCAGCAGTCTGTAGAAACAAAATGACCACTTAACATGATTGTGAACACGCTAGACAAGTCTTTGATCAAAGAAAGTGAGCGAGAGATGCCTGTATATGATCAGCCCCTAGAAGTCTCTGGTTGCACTTCAAAGCCTCATGCAGGTACCTTAAAGCAACATGCACATTTCCTAAACCTTCTTCCATCATTGCTACATTGATGTAAGTAGCTGCTGTGTTTGGATGAGAAGGTCCACAAGTCAAGTGCAAAAGGTACAGAGCTCGGTTAACATACCTGCAATAATCCAACACACATTTGTTTACTCAATCCAACATCATTCAATCAAAATTAGTCAATACAGCCAGTGGAAACATACTTCAACGCCAGTTCTGTATGCTGAAGTCTATAATAGAAAACAGCTAGATCTCCATAACTTTTCATTGTATCAGGGTGGTCAAGTCCAAGTTCCCTCTCATTAATATCCAATGCTTTTTGCTGATATATTGTTGCCTAAGTAAAGATATATAGTGTTCAGTACTTGGTCTTCAAATATTTGTATAATATCCACTCTATGATAAAGTACCTACCTGATTAAAATCCCCTGTATGATAGAGTACAACGGCCAGAAGACTATACGCTCCAGCAGTCATTCGATGATATGGACCGCAGACAGATACAAGTTTCGAGAGCGCCTTCAAAATTCAACAAGTTCCCACAGAATTAATTTATTGACTTAGAGATGTAAAACTCTTATGCCAAAGAATGATATCCCCCCACCTTTGTACCATAATTAACAGCATCCTCCAATTTCCCTTTATCCAGGGAAGTTTTGGAAGATTCCAACAGTGTACGCCCATCTGCTGACGAACACGCAACGTGCTGTCGAAAAGAAACGAACGTTGTCAAACCAAAAAAAAATATTCAAATCATTCAGTTGATGACATGAAACGTTGACTACCACAACCTTGTATACAGGAACCATGCTTATAATATCTGATTTCTTGAAAGGGGAAGCACTTTCCATATTGTAATCCCTGGGGACAAGCTCTAGCCCAACCTGATGGACATAATGTCAGTGTTAAGGGATGACATCAATAACTTTTAATAGAGAAAACAAAGGCTAGTCTCATTTTTAAACCTTGTGGCATAAACCGCGAAGGATGGCATATTTTCTGAGATCTTGAGTGCCATCATATTTCCATTGCCATCCGAATCTCTTGAGAAGGAATGTTTCCACCCACTTCCATTTCAGATTACAATCATTGGTCCAGTCGACTTCATCTTCGGTCGAAGGTGTTCCCAACAGTACATTTAGACACGATGCTATCGATGTGGCCAAGTCAGAAACATCGACTGCAGCTATAACTGCTTGCAGGATGTGTTTATAAGCTCGAACAATCATTTCGTGTATACATAAAGATTGCACATGCGGAAGCTTATCAGCAAGTTCAACCTAGAATAAAGCAAGGAAAATAGGTGAGAAATCACATGGCAAGAATGATGTCATAAAATAAAAACGAGGCAATTACCACACGCCCCAACGAGCACATTTGCAACCCCCGTGTGTGCATAAAATCTGTCAACGTCCTTCCATCAACAGGTGAGAGTTCAAGTGACCCAAAATCTGCAACCTGTTATATTTGAGGTTGTATAAATTAGTCCTCTTGAGCACAACATATAAGAACCAAAAAGATCTGATTATTGACAATCTAACCAGTTTCGGAAGGGCGGTATCAGCATAGTACTTATGAGCCATATCAATCAACTCCGCAGGTGACTGCCAGGGACAACCCACAACCAATATTAAGTCAAGAGCTAAAGCATAACAATCATATTCTAAAGGAACAAAGAAGAACCTTTTTGTGAAGACCGGTTTCTGATTCTTTGAGTCGCAAATACGCAGATTCTGAAAGCAACGTTTTCCACATCTGTTCCTTATCTTCGTCTTGTTTCTCCATCTCCTTCTGATTAATGGGATCAACTTCCTTCGCAGGCTCTACTTTGCTACTTCCAAGGTCTGTTTTTTTCTTAATTTCCTTTAGAAGTCCACCTTGTTTTCCAAGACCCTTTACAACTGGCTCTAACTTGGTTTCATCTGTTTTCTTAGGCTCAGTTTTTCCTGAAGCCTGATTCTGCAAATGTTGAACCCAACATGCACCTAGCTCCCACCTAATGGACCTAGAGTTTTTGGCAGGCTCTTCTTGCAATCTCAACAAACTTTCCTCCATTACTTTCCTAACTACCGTCCTCGAATATTGTAAATTATCAACATCGGTCGTCTGCGATCGATTAGATGTACTTGATGCCTGAGGTGTGAATGACTTGAGCAGCAGCATTCTCAAGCTAAATTAAAATTTAGAAGAATCAAAATATTTCTATTAACATTCTCAAGCTAAATTAGTACTTGGAAGTTTTTGGAAAAACATGAAAATACCTATTAACATTTAAAGCATTGGCTCCTCCTTCAGGTTGTTCTTCAATGTTAATGTCCTGAGGAATAGGATTTTCCCCCCAATTCACCTCTGTTGCAACTTTCACAATAGCTGTGTAGCCACAATGTCTAATGACCACAACGCCTAATGTGGAAGTGTCCTACAGCAACGGGTTATAAAAGCAATCAAAACAACTTTAAATTGAAATAACATATCATATCATATCAAATCTTCCTATTACCCATATTGCTTACATGAACAGTAGCACTCTCATCAGCAGTTATTCCTTTAAGTAAATTTCTTTGAGAAAGATCCTCTGTCGAGACTCCAAGAACCAAACTCCCGTCGTTTTTACGGTCCAATTTTACGCTTGCATCTTCTACATCTCTTGTTACCTTAATGATTAGATCTCCAACAACTTCTTCATGTGCTACTAAACCATTTGAATCATTTACAGGAAATCGGTTAGTTTCGACAAGGGAGTTGATGATTTCAACCGCTTTAAAAACTGACACGTCGACGAATAAACTGTGAAGCAGAAATGCTTTTCTATCACGGATTTGCCTCTCCTCTGCAGTTTTGCAAGGCATTGCAACTAGTACTGCAAATTCTTTTGCCCACTCCCTGAGATTATGCTTGCCATCTCTTCCTTGCCCGCCCCCATTTCCTCCCCAATTTTCATCTTCAACAGGAAGTTGGGGGAAAACAGATCCGTTCTCTGCAATAAAAGGAGGAACCACCCATGTATTTGCTCGAAAACCATAAGGTAGGTTTCCAAACTGAAATGAAACAGAGTCAATATGGCATTATCTTTTCCATAATCCCATTACTATATCTCAAATATACTTACTTTGTTGTGATCTGTGAAAGCTTTCATAAGCGCTTTATATGCCTACAAAAAGGGTGTACTTTAATGATCATGGAACCTAAAAATTGACAGAAATAAGATCAACCATGGTTTAGATATAAAGGGCTTACAGCATCAAATGCCCTACTTATCTGCTGCAACAGACCCACCAAGGAATGATTAAGAAGAAGATGTTTCCCAGCAGGGTAAAACCCTTTTCTTGAAGCAACAATTGTCGTTGGTTTTCCATTGCAAACACGAACCTTTAGATACAATCATACACAGGATATTAGTAAGCAGTTCCCAATGCTTAGCAGAACTAAATAAGACTATCCTTACATCAATCTGAAAAAAATCATCTTCTGTTTTATCCACAAGGAATGGGCGACTCGATCTCCGAATGTCTGCAAGATAAAACTAAATAAGAAAAAAGTTCCATTTTCCACCAAGATCAAGGTCAATGACGACTCTCCACAATGGTATGATATTGTCTACTTTGAACAAAAGTGCTTTTAGACTTCCCAAAAGGCCTCATACAATGGAAAAAGTATTCCTTGATTATAAACTCAGTATTATTCCCTAAATTAGTCGATGTGATATAAATAAAACTCACATTGAAGTGGCGGTGTCAGATGAGAGAAGGAGAAGAACTCATAAAACTGGCCAAGCCGCGGCGGTGGGCACATTGAAACGGACCCATCAGCTTTCTCCGAAATATCGTACGGACCGTCCAGGTTTTTGAATCCCTTAACCCCGAGAGAGCCTGGGACCGCTTTCTTGTCTCCGGTCCCCGCTGATTTAGGTTTGCCACTCTGCTCGCCGCCGCTTCCGGGACTGGCCTCATAATCAGTCAAACAAGATTCTTTCGACCCAATGTCCTTGGGACTGGTTCGAGCCGAAGACTTGGGGGAATTGGAGGACCCGCCAAAGGAGGTGGTGCAAGCGACGATGTCGAGCAGTCGCCGGATATGTGCGACGGCGAGTTCTTCTGTGTAGTCCTCTGCCAAAATACCAACACTGGAAATTTAATATTTGGGAGGAGAGGGAGGAAGGTTAAGGTGCGGCAATATGTACGATAACAGACCCGACTACAAAATTCTGGTCCGTTGGATTCTTTTTCTTTTTTTAATATGGGGTCAGGTTTACCTTGGACGATTGTGACGTGGCATGGTTTTAGAGAGATGATGTCCACCGAATCTTTTAGTCTAGAGCCTCGAACCTGAAAATTTTATAAATTTTATAAATAAATAAATAAAATACCTTTACCGTTTACCGTTATTCGTTACTCTTTTGCGCGGGAAGTCTTTTTTTTTTTTTTTTCTTTATTCTTTTTCTCTCTGCGATTGTATTTTTATCAGAGGCGGTTGGTTCAGACAAAAACAAAAATTATATTCGTTTTTCATAAATTAAAAAATATATTACAATTTACACGTGAAAAATCATGTGCTAATAATTCATTTGAAAGTCTTTTTTTTTTCTTTTACTAAATTTCCACGTTTTCAATAGTTGCAAAAATAATATTTTTAAAAAATCAATTAAAATCGACCATTCATTTACAAATGTGATCAAGATAATTTTAATGTTTTTCCGATAATTTTTTAGTTTTAATTTTTTTAATAAATTAGTTTTGCTTTAATACAAATGTAAAACATTAGAATTTTTATTAAATTAAAAAAAGTAAAACACAATACACTAATTTTTTTAATTTTCAAAATTTAGATGATTTAAAAATAAATAAATAAATAGTATATACCAAAATAAATAAAATTATAGAGTAAGTAATGTTTATATGCTTAAGTCAAATAATTATTAAAGGAACCCAAATTTCCAACCTTCATATAGAATTTTCTTTTGAGGATTTATAAAATTATTTTTGAAATAAAACACGCAACTAAAATTAAATTAATCATCGTTATTTTTTTTAAGTTAAAATTTTGAATATTGATGCAATAAATTTTTTTAGTTCAATTACATACCGAGAAGAATTTGAATTTTAAATTATTCTTCAAAAATACATGTTTTAATCAATTATAAATTAAACTTAAATTCATTATTAGTAGTAGTAGTATGGCTTGATTTTTGAAAAAAATAGGCCATAAAGTTTTCTGTTTAAAAAGAAAAAGGCAATGTTTTTCATCACTCGACAACATCATCCATCCATCCCCCACATGTATAAACCGTGTCCACTACCAGCCGTCAGATTCCGGGCCCCACTCAAACAATCCCACGATAATGATGCACCCACACCAAAAATTAGACCGTTTCCAAAACGGAAGAAAAGAAAGGTAAAAGTCAATGCATCCAACGGTGCAGATGAAAGAGCATAAAATTAGTGGGACCCACGCCTTGGTTTGAAGAAGTACAAGGGAAAAGAAAGTGTACCTCGTGAGACAACGTGAAGTTGGTTAAATGACATGTCTCCACGTGTACTCCTAAGAGCTTCCTCGCATCCAAGATCCTGTCTGTTGATATTCCCTACAAATTTAATTCAATTCCCACTTTCAATTTAATATCTCTCTAAATTTCAATTTTATTTATAATATATCCCTTCACTCTTATAAAATCCACCAACATTAACATTTAAATACTTACATATCTAAAAAAATATTAGATAAATATTCGATTTTTTTTTAAAAAGCCTTATTTAAAATACTAGGTGGGCAGGTACTCCATTTTAATTTCCTTTAATTTATTTTTTTTTTGTATTTTATTTATTGAAATAAATTGGTTTAAAAAAGGGAACCATTTAAAGTAAGCATTTAAAAGTACTATAGATGTTGGAGAAAAAATGAATAAATATAAATGTAGCCAGTCATCTACCTTCTGTCTTATTATTTTGTATTTCATAACCACCTTTAAAAAAAAAAATTATATTACACATTCTTCGACTTTTGAAAAAGTTATTAGGTATCTAAAAATGGTTAAAAAGAATTTACTTTTAATTAAAGTTAATTCGAGCGAGGTAAAAATAATTGTGTAGGAAGTATGTTAGATCACATCTATTAATTCAAACCTAACCGAATAAATTAAGACATCAATTATTATCTTCGATAATTGTTAATCTAAAAAAATGGCTAGAAATTTATTTACTCAAATAATATTAGCTAAAAAATCCTTCCGAATATTATTTAAATTCAAATAATAAAACACTAATTTTAAAAGAATGGTATGAGTATTTTAAAAATAATTATAAAAAATAACCATAAATTTTATCTTCTTTTTTTTTTTTAAATACTTCTATTATTTTAAAATTTTCAAGCTTTTCTTTTTAACTTCCGTTCATAATTATAAATTCCATTCGAATGTGAATGGAAAGTTGATACGAAGATGACATTAAACAGTGTTGAGTGTAATGATGATTAAGATGTTCGTATGAATTAAACAAAAAAAAAAAAAGAGATTTAAATACTTCGATTTTTTGTTTAATTCTAGCAATTGTTACTTAAACGAGTGAGTTTGAAATATTTATAAAATACTAAAAAATAATATTACAACTTATAATTTAGCCTAACAACAAGAAGAAAATATAAACAAATAACTTGATGGATAAACTCAATTTTAAGAACCCAAAAATAAATTTGAAAATTTGGTTGGAAGGAAGAGATGAATATAACAAACAAAATAAAACTGAGTAATTGAAGACAAAAATAAAAATGAAAGAAATAGGGAATTTACCTTAAGAGTGACTTGCGAATCGTGTGGAGTTTCTACAGTGAGTTCAACAACAGTGGGCAAAACTGGGAAAAACAATAGAAGGCAGAAGAAGAAGATAGAGCTCAAAATATCAGCCACATATTTGATTCCGACACAATACCCAAAACTCAGCCAACTCCCAAACACATCCTTCAATGGAAATCCCCATTATTTGGAATTAAAAACCCAGAAACTTTCCCATCCAGTTTCTCGGCATCCAAACAGAATTACTAAAGCACAGAGAAGAGAGGAATAGATAGAAAAAGAGAGAGAGTTCCGGAGTTCGAACCTTTCTCTTCTTTCTTCTTCTTGTCTCCTTTAGGCTTATGCGGCTTTGTCTTTCCTGCCTTGGGAGCCATCTCGGATTGCCCAGAAACAGAAGTAAATGAAATTGTAAAAGGGCTGAGAAAAATTGGAGAGTGAAGGGGGGGTTTTAAAGAAGAACAGAAAGGAGGGTGGATGTTGATTACAGAGTGTTATCGAGAATTTTAAAGAGAGAGAAGAGAAGAGAAGAGAGGAGTGGGATAGGATAAGGTAAGAGGGAGAGGAGAAGGCTATGTGTTGGGGACTCTAAAACAACTTGAGCTGCAAAAGGCTAGCGATTTGGGGCCTCTCGTTTTTTCCTTCCCCTGTTTCTTATTACCGCCTCATCGGCTCTTTATTTTCTAAGTTAAATTCAAAAAACAGTACGAATCTAGTAGATATCTGTTAATTTAATGACACTTTCCAAACTCAACAATTTTTCATTCCCTCACAACTTCATCTCCGTTTACCTTGTTTTGTTTTCTTCCTTGGGCATTGTTTCAACAAAAATAAATAAATAAATAAATGACCTATTATAATTTAAGAATGCATACACGTAGACTTATAATTTAATATAAAGCATAGTATTTATTGTTATGGGGAATTTAGATAGTAAAATCAAACTAATTAGGAACATAATGAGGATTATTTAGATTAATCAACCACGAGGAGGTTTGAAAGCCTATATTGGGGTGGACCAGGCTAGGTTGAGGCGAGGTGCATGGGCCAAGCACATATGGACATGCACCTCGCACACTCACGACCCAATAGAGGTCGGTAGATATCTAGTTCAACATTGGAATGAAACCTTTAGTTTAATAATCCTTGAGTTGGACAAGCATGACCGTGACAATAAGTACCACTCTCACGTGTTTAAATTTATTAGTATTATTATTATGTAAATAGAAAGTGGAAATGAAAGGGTTATGAGAACCTACCATTTTGGACTCTCCATAAATTCGAGCAATGCGGCATTATATTATAAGGTCATTTTCTCGTTCATTGTTTTTACATTCAATAATGTAATTCAAGTTAGTTTTGGTGGTGATGTGATATTTCTATTTTTTTTATTTACTTATTGTAATTTAGAAGTAATTTATTTCAGGTATGTTGATACGATATTTGTAATTTTAAATTTTGATTATTGATTGTTTATACATGAACAAACTCAATTATTAATTTAAACTAATATAATTTTAAATATTAGAGCAGTGTTATTTTAGGATAACCTTTCATATTTCATCATTTTATTATTATTATTGGATAAAAAAAATCTGATTTATAGGAAATGGAAATAAAATTTTGAGAGAGTTGAAAGAAAAAAATTAAATTATTATTGGTCATAATGCTAGTTTGGTGTTGCTTTTATTTATTTATTTACTGAAATTGTATAAATAATAAAAATTAACACTAAACTAACAATAATTTAAACTTTATTGAAAATGCATAAAACCTACACGATGCATCGTCCGTACACTCACGAAGAATCCGTCTGTTCGGAGAAAGAAAAAATCAGAAATACGCAGAACGGAACCACCAAGAATGCTCCAATCTTCAAAAAATCTTCAGTCTCCTTGGTTATGGCTCCAATTCTAGACCAATCTCCACTGTACCTGATCATTTCAAGCCCTAATTCAACTTCAATTCAAGTGGAAACGAAGACGAAATTAAATTTTCATACCCTGCATCGACGAACCCTAATCCGAGTACCGCGACGACAGATCGGGCGAGAAGTGGATTTGAAACTCTGAGCGATGGAAACTTGAGTTGCGTCGATGAAATGGAATCGGAATCGCCGGTTCGTTTTGCCGATGTGGTCCCGAATTTTCTGGCATTGTTGTTGCTGAGAATTAGGGGATGAGGTAGGGCAGAGAGACCCGTGAAGATAAAACTTGAATCTGCGATCGGCATTCCCTATCACATGCGACGAGTATGGAAAATCTGAAATAAATGGCGGGCAAAGTTAATTACAGCCACATCTTTTTTCACACTCTGGGCGGTAGGAATTCTCCGGTTAAATCTTTTAGAATATTCCTTGTTGACTCTGGCAAATCGGATGTCGACGAAAAAAAAAAAAATTGGCCGAAGGTTTCTTCGAAGGAAAAATTAGCGGAAGTAAAAGGAGAGAGAGAGAGAGATTCGCTGGTAATGCTGAAGACTCAATATATTATTTTACATCCGTTGAATGGTTTAAATAATAAATCTAATTACAAAAATAGAAAAACCAAATATACACAAATAGAATAAGTGGACGAAGACTCCGTCACTCTGCCAAAACAATGGCCCCTAGAATCACGCTCCTCCATTCGCGTGAACTCATATGTTTTTACAAACCTAACTAAATAAGGCAGAGCTTTTATTTAACAATCTCCTCCTAAAAGCTGTACCTTATTATTTGAACTCCGATCTTTGAGCGTAGTTCTTCAAATTTCACCCGCGCCAGGGATTTGGTGAAAATGTCTCCAAGTTGTTCCTCTGTTCGGATGAAATCAATTTTGATGAGCCCTCGATCTGCACATTCTCGAATGTAGTGGAATCTGATTTCTATGTGCTTGCTCCGGTCGTGCAAAACTGGATTTTTGATCAGGGAGATCGTAGCTTTGTTGTCTATGTATAGCATTGGTGGATCGCTTTCTCTCCCGATGATTTCTTCCATTAGTCGTGCAAGCCAGATCCCTTGAGTTGCTGCCATCGAAGCGGCGATGTATTCTGCTTCGCAGGAAGACAAAGCAACTACCTTCTGTTTTGTTGATTGCCAGCAGATCGCGCCGCCTGAGAGAAAGTAGATCATTCCGCTGGTGCTCTTACGATCATCAACGTCACCGGCCATGTCACTATCGCTGTAGCCGACCAGTTTGAGTTTCTCCTTTTCGCTCCCAGCGCAGTATCTTACGCCCCAGTCTCTGGTTCCGGCTACATAGCGCAGGATGCGCTTGACAGCCACTAGATGCTCCTCCCTAGGTGCTTCCATAAACCTACTCACATATCCAACAGAATAAGCAAGATCAGGACGAGAGTTTACCAGATAGCGCAGACTCCCGACAATGCTGCGGTAATTGGTGGAGTCGACTGTCGTCGTAGTGCCGGCCTTCCTTAGTTGAAGTCGGGCCTCCATTGGCGTCCTGGTAGGATTACTGTCCATAAGCCCAGTTGTGTCCAGCAGCTTTCTCGCGTATGCACTTTGGCAGATGGAGATGCCGGAAGAGTTCTGTTGCACTTCGATGCCGAGGTAGTAGCTGAGCACACCGAGATCGCTCATCTCGAAGTTTTTCGACATCTCCTTCTTGAACCTTCCGAGGACTCCCACGTCGCCTCCAGTGATTATGAGGTCGTCGACGTACACTCCCACGATCAGTCGCTTTTTGCCGTGGCCGTACGTGTACATGCCATGCTCAGAGGCACAACGTTTGAAATTCAGTGACAGTAGGGTACTGTCGAGCTTCGCGTTCCAGGCTCGTGGGGCTTGTCGAAGCCCGTAGAGTGCTTTGTGCAGGCGCAGTACCTTATTAGGGTTGTCGTTATCCAGAAAGCCAGGTGGTTGTCGAACATAGACGGTCTCCTTCAACTCTCCGTTAAGGAAAGCAGACTTTACGTCCATATGGTGAACCTCCCAAGAGTGATGTGCTGCAATTGCCAGCAGGAAACGAACGGATTCTAACCTTGCTACTGGCGCAAATACCTCTTCGAAATCCACTCCTTGCTTCTGGACGTAGCCCTTCGCCACCAGACGAGCCTTGTGCTTCACAACTTCTCCTTTTTCGTTGCGCTTCAGTTTGAAGACCCATTTGAGCCCTATGGCTCGGTGTCCCGGTGGCATATCCTCCAGACTCCACGTCTGGTTCTCAGTGATGGATGTCATCTCCTCCTGCATTGCCTTCCGCCAGCACGGGTTCTTTTCTGCTTCGGCGAAGGTGTTTGGTTCATCTGCACTGACGGCATGTAGTTCGGCCACTTCCTCGAGCTCGCGCGCTGCTAGTCCAGGTGGTTCACCTCCTCCCACTAGGTCATCCATCCTCCGGTACCTAGCCTCCAGATCAGTATCGTGATCGGCATCCAGCGTCGAATCCGCAGTCCGTGGTGTTGCGAATTCCACTGGTTCATGTGGTGCACCTGCTGGCGGCGGTGACGTCTCCTGATGCTGGGCTCCTCCTTCTTCAGGCTCAGTGACGAGGTACTCCACCGTGAATTGATTTGGATTACGGTCTGCCTCGATCACGTCATTCCACTGCCAGAAGGTGCTTTCGTCGAAGACGACGTCGCGAGACACGTGAGCTCGCCCCCCCACAGGATCATAGAGTCTGTACGCCTTGCTCCCGGGTTCGTAGCCGATGAAGACGACCTTCAGCCCCCTGGGATCGAGCTTGGCGAGATGGGGACGTGTTACCTTCATGTATGCGACGCAGCCGAACACGCGAAAATGGTGTACTGTTGGTTTTTTGTTGTACCAGGCTTCATATGGCGTCTTCCCGTCGAGGCTTCGGGTTGGTGACCGATTGAGGAGATAGACAGCCGTCATTACTGCCTCTCCCCAGAATCTCCCAGGCATCCCGGCCGTCACCAACAATGACCTCGCTGTCCCGACAATGGTCTGATTTCGGCGCTCTACCACTCCGTTCTGTTGGGGGGAGTAGGGCGCCGTTAGGTGCCGTTGTATGCCGACCTCATCGCAGTACTTACTGAAACTTGCCGAGGTGAATTCTCCGCCACGGTCTGTGCGCAGCACTCGCATCTTCTTCTCACATTCGGCCTCCGCTCGCGCTTTAATGCGCTTAACCGCCTCTGCCGCCTCACTTTTCGCTTGCAGCAAAGTCAGCCACATGAAGCGGCTTTTGTCATCGACTAACAGGAGGAAGAGAGTCTTACCGCCTGGGGTCGCCGGCTTGATGGGCCCGCAAATATCGCCGTGTACAAGCTCCAATGGCTCATCGGCTCGGTAGGCTGTTCGAGACGGAAAGGGTGTGCGCTTCTGTTTGCCGATGAGGCACCCGTCGCACAGCTTGTTCACGCCTTTGATTTCTGGCAAGCCGTGCACCAACTCCTTCTTCTGTAACTTTTCTAGGGCAGGAAAGTTTAAGTGTCCGTACCTTGCGTGCCACCTCCAAGATACCTCTTCGGTCTTGGCCGAGAGGCTAACGGGTTGGTCTATCTCTAACTCCAGGATGTAAAGACGGTTTGTGGTTCGTCTTGCCTGCGTGAGCAGCCGTCGTTGATTATCGCAGATTTTCAGTAGTCCGCGCTCGATGGAAATGAAGCAGCCTGTCTCATCGAGCTGACCCAGGCTCACAAGGTTAGCCTTGAGCCTCGGGATGAAGTAGACGTCGGTCAGCTTGCGATGCTCGCCTCCCTTACTGACGAACAGGATGGTGCCGCGCCCTTCGATCTCGACGACGGAGCCGTCGCCGAATTTCACCGTCCCACGGATCCCCGAGTCGAGCTCGGAGAACGCAGATCTAGCCCCGGTCATATGGTTTGTTGCCCCTGTGTCAAGGATCCATTGCTGGTGCTCGTGTTGCTCGTCCCTTTCGCCGATCTGAGCGAACACTCGCTCCTCCTCCAGTTGAATTGGCTCCCCAGTTGGTGCCAGCTTTGCTAGGCCCAACTGGAGCTCTTTCTTGGGTTCAAGATCGTCGTCGGAGTTGGAATCGAAATTGGGGACGCATGCGGTTACCATGAAGAGAGCTGGCTCGTCCTCCTCGGATTGAGCCACATGGGCCTGGGCCTTTTCGGCCTTCTCCTTATTCCTCAGCTTGCTCCAGCAATTTCTGCCCAGGTGTCCTCTCTTCCCACAGTTCGAGCAATGGATCGGCCTGCCATTGGTCGACTCCTTCTTTTGATTCTCATCTTTCCCGCGCGTGCGCCCGTGGGACATCCATGGCTTCTTACCGCCTTTGCGGCTGGAGGAGGACCCGTTGCTCTCGCCGGTGTTGTCGCGGAGCTTTAGGCGTGCAAGCCATTCCTCCTCCGTGAGGAGTAGACGGCCCTCCTTGTCAACAGCTGAAGTGATATTCTTCTTCCGCTGCTCGACGTTACGTAGTCTTCCGGTCACCTCTTCCACTGTTAGGTCGTTCACGTCAAGCAATGTCTCGATTGAAATCGCGACTTGCTCGAGGTGATCGGGAACGACCTGCAACATCTTCTTCACGATTTCTGTCTCGCTGATGCCACCACCGAGGGTGGTGATGCTGTTGGCGAGCCCCGTGATCCGCATTGAAAAATCATCGACGGATTCGCCGTCCTTAAAGCGAATCTCCGAGAGCTCCTTTCGCAGTTGCTCGATGTTGGATTCCCGCACTCGCTGTACACCGACCCGACGGGATTTGATTCCCTCCCAGGCCGATTGTGCGGTGCGCTTGGTGGAAAGAGAAGCCAGCATCTCTGGGGGCACAGATCGTAATATGGCGGCGAACGCCAGCCGATCCTCCCGGTACTCGATTGTTTCTCCTTCCTCTGGCTCGACAGCGTGCCATAACCCTTGCGCCTGTAGGTTAACACGCATCAACAAGGCCCACTCGTTGTAGTTGGACCTTGTCAACATCGGGTACTGAACGACGGCGGTCGTTGTCTCTCTGATCACTCGCTCAACAACTACTCGACGCCCGTCATCACGATGTCGGCCACGGCCTCTCCATGGTGGTGATGGAGATGCCGGCACTTGGCGGCGTGGAGGAGTGAGCGAGCCTGCTTGAGATGGGCCCCACGATGTATTTATTTTTGTGCTTTGCATTTTCTTCTACTCGAACCTAAGACCTGTGTGTTATTAGATCGACGCTCTAACCACTTGAGCTATTCAACTTGTTTGTTGATAGGTTGGCTCCTCTGTGATGGTATACTACCGATCGCTTCAACCTGGCTCTGATACCACTTGTTGACTCTGGCAAATCGGATGTCGACGAAAAAAAAAAAAATTGGCCGAAGGTTTCTTCGAAGGAAAAATTAGCGGAAGTAAAAGGAGAGAGAGAGAGAGATTCGCTGGTAATGCTGAAGACTCAATATATTATTTTACATCCGTTGAATGGTTTAAATAATAAATCTAATTACAAAAATAGAAAAACCAAATATACACAAATAGAATAAGTGGACGAAGACTCCGTCACTCTGCCAAAACAATGGCCCCTAGAATCACGCTCCTCCATTCGCGTGAACTCATATGTTTTTACAAACCTAACTAAATAAGGCAGAGCTTTTATTTAATTCCTCTTTGTCCATTATCCAGTTTGGGCAAAAGGATTCCATGCCCACTCTTCACTACAAAAGGATTGTATTATCTATGACAATAAAAGAGTAGGACTATCTATGATCCTAGGCTTTCCTTTGACTGCTTTTGAACCTTTATACACCTTTTTCTAGTGGTGTGACATAGAGGTCCGCACTCACATCCCTTCACAATTTGAATGTAGCTGCTGCATTACCAAGTGTAAATTTAGTGCTTCAGGGGATGGATCAAGGTGCAAAACTTTAATGCCGGAGCTCCCAACTGTTGACCTGAACGACCCTAGGAACTTGCAACATTCGTGACTATCTTAGATGTGAGATCGACCTTGTCTAAGGTGGGTGCACGAAAAAATGATTTTACCTTTCTTGTTTTGAAACGAGTCTAGCTACTAGTACTTGGAGGGTGGGCTAACCCAAGTATGATGAGAAAGAAAAAGATGTTTCTTTAAATTTTTATTGGTAAATTAAGTCGTTTATGATTTACGCATTTAAGATTAAAAATGGCTTGAGACTAATTAAAGAAAGAGAGTCATAATAAATATTAAGAAATCAATAAATAAATATAAAAAAAAAGCGCTTCACTTTATCCACACAGCAGCCCGAGGCTAAGGCTCGTAGAGATTGGCAGAAAGAAGAAGAAAGACCAGAGGGTTCGAAGATTCAGTGATGGCATCTGTCTTTGGTCTTAGGTTTACGCCACTGTGCTCTCGGCCATCATTTCACGTCTCTCATACTTCCATCCGGCTCGCTTCGTTCAACAAGCCGAACTCGTTGCGGCTCAGTTCCTCTCATAACATTTCCGGGGTTGGAGTTGCTCTCCTTCAGAAGTCATGTCAAATCTCTCCCCGTCCTCAAGTTTCTACTCCCCTGACTGTTGTCGCTGCTAAAGGCTACAAAATGAAAACCCACAAGGTTTCCTCGATGCCTCTCTTCTCTGTGTATTTTGGGATATTTTTGTATGGTTCAATTCTGATTGTATTTTGATTTAATTGAAGTCAATTTCAGTCTTTCTAGATAGCTTTAATGTGTCTAGTTGCTATTTTCGTTCGAATTTGCAGTAAGATTTGACAATCGCAGGCTGAATTTAAAATATCCAATTCTAGACGCTTACTGAAGGGGCCAATATTATTATTTCAAATAATAAGCGCCTCTTTTCTCTGTTTTCTACTGGAATTTTCTTCTTTTGATTTTGATTTGATTGTTTGGTGTTGCTGGATAGGCTTCGGCAAAGCGATTCAGGGTGACGGGTCGGGGGAAAATTGTTCGGAGGCGAGCAGGAAAGCAGCATTTGCTGTACAAGAAGAACACCAAGAGAAAATTACGGCTTTCCAAAATGGTATGTCTTCCCTGATTATTTTTATGTTTATGACTCTGAATCTGAATGCTGCGTTTCTAAACTTGGACCCTTGATTTTGGTTTTGGAAGAAATTTTGTATAAATGTATAAGAAGTTTAGGCTATGCAGGCTCTATTTTCAATGAGTATGATTTCTCGACACCTTATTCCATCAATCTTCATTTCTTGAATGCAAGTTGTCAATCCAGTTCTACAAATAATCTTTACCGAAGTTGGAAGTTCTTTCTTCTGTGGATTCTATCCCAGTTCTTTCTTCTGTTGATTCTATCCCAGTCATATTGTTAACTTATGACATGCACAACGCAATTAAGTTTGTCTTGGAAGGATGAACTAATGTGAAGTTATTAATCTGTTGTCACAGTTGGATAAGTTGAGAATGATTGAGAGTAGTAGTCCCACGTTAACTAAATAAGAGGAAAATTGTGAGTTTATAAGTAAGGAACACTATCTCTATTGGTATGAAGCTTTTTAGGAAAACCAAAAGCAAAATCATGAGAACTTATGTTCAAGGTGAACAACATCATATTATTGTGGAGGTTTGTGACTCCTAACAGAATCAAACAACAATCCCAATGCTATCATAGAGAGCTCATTTAGGAAACTAAACTGGTCATAAAATGATGACCAACTGGTCAAGAGAACTTGATTTCTCCCTAGCATTTTTCTTTTCATGCGGGTAGATTTTAATTTTAAACTTTTCAAATTGTTATTAAAAGTAGCTAGAATGCAAGAAGGATTTAAAGGATGGTCTCTTGTTTCATAGCCTTTTAATAGTTCTCCCTTTTCCAACTTTAAGCAGAGTGATTCCCATTTAGAGATTTGCTGACATTTTCTCGGACTGATTTCTTGTAGTTGTAGGCCAACTCTATAGATGTTTATGGAAACATGAAAAATAAGTTCTTTTGAGCCTTTTGTTTAACTTTGACCCCATCTAGATTGTTACAGCCTCGTCCCGACTTTTTGTCTTTTTCTTGGTGAAAGTTTAAGGCTTACACATTAGGCCCATAGATCTTTTGCATTTGTATCATGTAGCTTATGGTTAATGAACTGTTAGAGCAATAAAATGCTTCACCTAGGAATTCTTTTATCAATCATATTTATTTATAAGATCTTGTGATTATGAACTAAGTGCCTTGATATAGGGAAAATTTACGATACAAAAATTCTGTTGTGTTGCTCTTGCTGTGTAAGGCAAATTGATAGTGCTCATGCAGTCGCATACCTTGTTGTTATGTTACTGAGTGTTGTCTTTGATTGGCTTTTGTTTCAACACAGCACCCAGTTAGCCGAAGTGACTACGATAATGTGATCGGTGCTTTGCCATACCTGAAGGTGAACAGGCAAGCGCAGTAGAGGCTATCACCTCACCCCATTAGATCTTGGCTCTACTTAGTTCATTTGTAATTGAACCAAATGATTTTCAATTTTCCAGAACTCCTCAAAGAGATAAGTTTGATTGTTTTTTAATATTATTTCTCTAGTTTATACCATCAGTTCATAATGGTGCTTTCTTTTAATTCTCTTCCTCTCGTCTCTTTTTGCTAATCTTGTCGGGCTATAAGACCAAAGTCATCTCCTCTGTAAATCACGGGGATCTGGGATGATCATTTTGTCCTTGTCAAATATGTCTAACCTGTTTGATCAATTCTATCTCAACATATAAAAATCTAACTCTGTAGCGTGATGGCAATTGCACTCTTGTTTGCTCAGGAATTTGACTTTTTTATGATCGAGTCAACCATATCGCAATTCTATTTGTTCAGGGATTTGACTTTTTTGTGACTTATAATATGGTAGGTTAATTTAAAACAGCAATGGAGGCAGTTAGATACTAATTATTTGGTAATTATTGAGCTTAAAAAGAGAGAATCTAAAATGATTGGAGAGGAGACCATAAATAAATGGAGCTCCCGCGTCAGCCGTTGACGTAGAAAAGGCAAGAACTCCGGCCGCCCATTACCTAACAAAGCTTAAAAAAAAACCAGCCACCAGCCACCAGCCACCAGCCACCAGCCGTCGCCGTTATTTTTTGTTTACGCAATCCAAATTTCTCTTGCGTGTCAACCATCACATCATCGCATCAAGAGACAAGGCCACCCTTAATTTACATCCATACCCCTACCTTCCCCAAACTTCTTCTAATATACCAACACTACTTCCGTAACTTCACATCCTATTGGTCTTGTTTGTCTCTGTACGTGGGAGTTTAAATTCTGCACGTGTTGGTACAATCGGTCTCCTTCGCCACCAAGCGCCGATGCCAACTTTAGCTTTCCTCCTCCTCCTCCTCCTCCTCATTTAATTCCAGGGTTCTTCAACTTCTCTCCTTTCTTCTTTCCGTCTCCTGCGTTTTCGAATATCTATGGTGCAATTTGTGGATCCCAAGATGACTTTGTATCCAGAGAAGTTCGCGGTGAAGCGTGAGTGCGATGATTCTTTTCACCACCACTATGATCACTTGGACAAGCGCTTCAAGCCTGATTTTCAAAAGGTATTTCCTCTGTTTTGTTCTGCCTCTGATATGTTTTTCTGAGTTGAATTTGTTTAATGAAATTCTGATTTGTTTGGCTAAGTTTATGGCATAGTTCTTGATTTTGTCTGTGGATTGTCAGTCAATTTCGGGACCTAACACATTACCTGCAACCTCTTCACAGAATAATCCGGTTGATGAGCCGAGTCCTCTTGGTTTGACGCTTAGGAAGAGCCCCTCCCTGTTGGATCTAATTCAAATGAGACTCTCACAGGGGATTACGTCAACAGCCGGAGATTCAAACTCCGAAACTTTTGACTTCATTGTTGAAAAAGAAACCGAGATCGTTACCTTGTCGGGTACCACTGAGAAACTAAAGGCTTCAAACTTCCCAGCCTCACATTTAAAGATTGGACGTTGGGAGGTCTTTATTGAATTCTATGGTACTACTTTTGGGTTTGCAAAGATGTGTGAGCTGACTCATTGTCATTTTATGATGGCAGTATAAGCCAAGGCATGAAGGTGATCTGGTGGCGAAGTGTTACTATGCTAAGCACAAGCTTGTTTGGGAAATCCTCGAGGGTGGGCTCAAAAGTAAAATAGAGGTGCAATGGTCAGATATTATGGCTTTAAAAGCGAATTGTCCAGATGATGGTCCTGCTACACTAAATGTTGTGGTATTCACTCCTCATTCTTTATGGATTTTCCCTTCAGCTACTTTGTGTTTGATGATTTATTGATGTATTTGTGTGCTTGGTTGGAGCAGCTGGCTAGACGCCCTCTTTTCTTCAGGGAGACCAACCCACAACCAAGAAAGCACACGTTGTGGCAGGCAACAGCTGACTTTACGGGTGGTGAGGCCAGCATGCAGAGGTAAATCTTCACTTCTCGCTTTCTTTTCCTCGGCCTTGGGAAATTTATGTCAATTTCACCTGTGGTGTATAGGCAGCATTTTCTGCAATGCCCTCAAGGGTATCTAAACAAGCATTTTGAAAAGCTCATCCAATGTGACTCACGCCTAAACTTCTTAAGCCGACAACCAGAGATTGAGTTCGGTTCTCCATATTTTGAACCAACGGCCTCTGGTTTTACGACGTTCGAGCAAGCCAGCATCCATGGTTTGGAGCAACCAGTGAATGACAATCGATCTGTAGTTCATGAGATGGAAGAAAATAGAAGCATTACTAAAGTTAGCAGCATGGCAAGGAACTGGGAGCAGATAAAGGTTTCGGGGCTTCATCCATCCATGTCAATGAGTGACCTCGTAAACCACATTGGACAGCATATTTCAGAACAAATGACTTTTACAAAGTCACCTTTTGCTGATGATGGTTCCGAATGCCAAGAAATGCTTAATGAAATTACACGTTACTTGCTGAGTGACAATCAATTGTCAGCAGCTTCTGATGAGGCATCACTCATGTCAAGAGTCGATTCTCTCTGCTGCCTATTGCAGAAAGAACCTCCTGCAGTTCAAAGTTTTCCAACCAGCGGTGTTGAAGGACTCGATTACAAAGAGGATATTCAGCTGAGGGATGGAAGGAATTCGGAAAGCCATATTAAGATTCATCCAAAAGAAACGAAGGATGTTTCTGGAAGCATACAACCCTCAGCTATGTCAAGAAAAGATTCATTTGCAGATTTGATGTTACATCTTCCTCGAATTGCATCGCTTCCAAAGTTCTTGTTTAACATTTCAGATGGTGATGAAGATGAAGATTAATTAATTGCGAGCTAACTTTGTAGGTCTTTGGATAGTATGGGGAATGGGAATTCTGGAATTTGTGGCGCGTAGAAGAATGCTTCACGTGTAAAAATAGGTTCACAGTCAATTGACCACAAACTATAAAACTTTATTCTTAAATTAAAAACTAAATATCAGACCAGTAATTTACCAGTCACATTCACCAAACCTCGTCTCTACCCACTGGTATATCTACAGACAATTAATATTATAATCCAGTTAATACTTCATAAGAATTAAATGTGCACAATTAATCGTTTACCATTCGGACTCGAGTGCCAAAATCCGATTGCCTTTGTAAAAAAGTAAGTTAGCAGATCCAAATACTTCCAAACGCTTCTTCAAGGGCACGCTTTCTGCTGAACTCTACACTCCACCCACCGGCCCTTCCACCTCTCTCCGCTCTAAGCCTCAACATTTCCTCATCGTCAAGCCCATAGCCCTGCATGTCAAGACCGCCACCAAGGGGCACGGGTTGGCCTGTAGGTCGTGGCTGCCCTCCAGCAAATGTAGGTGCATACTGACCTTGTGTGCCTGTGCTTAATCCTGCTTGGAAGCTTTGATCTGCAGCCTGCAACAACAATCAAATGAAAATTAGGAGAATTGTTCGAACTCTCTGCTCCAGATCTTTCTTAAAGAAACATCGAGTGTCGTGTACTACTATTCTACTAGCTTCTATGTTCTATCCCTTTGGAAAACAAATACAGAGTTGAGAATTGTTACTCTTATGGAAACATATAAACATCAACTTTTGGAGATGATAAGGAAACAAAAAGTGAGCACAGGCACATATAAACATCACTTATTTAAAGACTTGACAGCAAGTTCGATGACACTCCAATATTTCAATCAGGATGAATCCAGAAGACAATGCAGAACTTTTTATTTGATGCAAAAGACATTGTTAACAGTAAACAATAAAAAAAAGATAAGGGAACAGATAGAAGACAGAAAAGTATGAGCAATTAAAAACAGGAAATATGTGCTCACCACATCATTGTCTGTCTGTGCGGGAATTCCCTTGCTTGCTGCAAGGGCTGCAGCATATTCTTCAGCCTATCAAATAGTTCGACAAGTTTTATTAACCTTTCAGTAAAAAGTGAAACATGAAGTTCAAAGGGAAGTTATGTCTTAAGTAAGAAAAAAAAAATAGTGATTGAGAGCCAAGGTCCTCAATTTGGAGCTAAAAGGAGAATAAAGGAATAATTTATACATAAAAGTAATAAACTAGATACCTTGCGAGCTCGGTTGACCATTATTTGTTCGGCATTTTCTTCTTGATATCTAGCAATTTTTGCTTCAATAGCTTGAACATCTATGCCTTCAATCAAGTTAAAAGCTGCAATATAAAATTTTCTGGTCAAATATGATTCTAGATAAAGAGATAGAGTAACCGTACTGGAAGAGCATACTCATGTCCTCCACTTCTTCCAGATAATCATTGTACTCTCTCAGGGATGGGAAATCATCTTCTCTCTTGTTGAATCTGTAAAAAAGAATACCAAAGACACTTCAGACATTAAATACATGTTCATGTACGCCATCCAAGAACAAGAACCAACTCAATAACATGAGCATTGAATAAATTCAAATTGAAACATCACTAGAAAACCCATCTATTTTCCACACATTCAGTGAAAGTTTTGAGACCTTAAATGTAGGCCTTTTTGCAGTAAAAAAAATATAACACCACTTTTGTCTTTTGGTTCTTTATACCTAGTTCACTACAAGCATCTGGGAAGGTGTAAACCTTTGCTTCTCCAATTCCAAACACACAATGCAACCATATACGACAATTGTATCATAAAGCAGTGACATGCGGCTACAGTATGCGCACAAGGTTCAAACAAACATAAAGAGTAAAAACGAGAAGTTGAGCAGCAGCGTCAGACTTACATGCTAGCAATCCTCCTCCTGATACTGATTTCCTTACTATGAGAAATACCGCTGGAGACAACCATTGTTGTTGCTTTTCAGCTTTTTTCTTTCTCTATCTATATTTCACTTGCCTGCAAAGCCATACCTGCAAAAACATAAACAAGAAATTGATGTATCTTTCAAGACACTAAACCAAAATGTGTGGTACTTCCATTCTGGATAAACGATTTTCATGAAATTCTAAAGTTTGAATCCTGACCAGAATTACTTGTAAATTAATTCAATAACGTAACCACGAGAATAGACCAGTACAGCCTTGCATCAAGAGATGCCCATGGCACGTTAGGATCATTAAACAAGAATCAAAAGACGGTCGTATTCTATAACTGGTTAACCCGTGTAAATTGTTATGGAGATTTCGACGTGGTATAGGAGTCTCAAATTTGGTTCCTCCAAAAAAGATCCTTGCATTTTAAAACAAACATACTCATTTCAAATTACAAAAAACCGAATCTACGTGAAGAATAGACAATTAAGTTGATTTCGGCACAAAATCATGAGCCTAGACTCAAAAATAGTAGCCTCCGAAACACAAGTTTACGCATAAAACAGATTCAAGTACATTCAAAGTCGATGTTCCAACCATAACAGCCCAAATGAATGAGAGAAACAGCCTAATTTCATTTACAGTCGGGTGCAGAAAACGACGGAAACACCCTTCGAAGCATACTGAAGCAACAAAAGCATAGAAGACAGAAGCTAACTAAAACAATAAGAGTACCTGAACCGCAGTAAAGGTTTCAGATCCTTAGCGGCGGAGACGGTCCGTCGAATGAGCCCTGATTCCTGAAGAAGGGGAGTTTGCTAGTTTGGAGGTGGGAGACCTCCATTGAATAAAGTGGAGAGGGGAAGGTAACAGAAGCAAATTCGGGCCGGGCCTAAGATAGCCCAAGAACATTCGCTCTGGGCCTAAGATAGCCCAATAACATTCTCATAGATTGGGCCTACGGTACCCTCATTGCCGTTTCATTATCACAACTATCCCTTTCATATCAAAGTTCCCATATTAGCCTTCCTTAAACAAATATTAAATCAAAATGTTAATTTCCTTACGCCTAAATTATAGAAAATGCCTATAAATATTTAAAAATTTATAATGTTAAAAAAATATATATTAAATTTTGCTAAACTTTTACTTCTATTTTTTTTACAGTTTAGTTCCAAAAATATCTAGTCGTATTGGGTAATCTTACCAACATTAGTTTATATTTGTGTGCGTGACATATAATACAATCATCCTAAACTAGTATAAAGTTATAATTTTAATTTTAATATCTCAAAAACTTAAATATATTTTTGGTTTAATGCGGCTTTCCCGAACTTGTTTCCCATTGCCTCAGCGAGTCCAGGATTTGGCAGACAAAATTGCATTCAAAGCCGCAATATTCAAATTTCTTAGCCTTTCTCATTTGTTTCAAAGGGTATATAAGTAATTAACAAAGGAAACTGATTTTATCGATCTGAACCAAAAATAAAAAAAATAAAAGCCTTCCACGATTATTAACGAAACGCCGACGTTTTAGCGGCTGTTTAAATTCTAAAATTCAACGCTTCTATTTTTTTTAATTATTAAAATTTAATACAAACCAAAAATTCTATCCGATGGAACTTGTTGAATTTTGTTGGTCCACTTATATATATATATATATTATAATAATGATTCCTATCTTTGAGTTTGGGGTACTAGCTTTTGAAAATTTGTTAGTTGAAATTACAATTCTAGTCTTCATAGCTTACTAGGTAGCTACCTTTTTTCATTTTTATTTTGATAATTTAATTAATCTGGTTCTAAATTTACATATTTGTTAGTATCAAAATTAAAATATATCCAAATGAACACACACTTCAACTTGCAAAAATTAGTTGACATTATGGAGCTTTGAAAAATAAAGCACATTTTTGTTTTATGTTCATTAATTTTCTCGAAAAGGGACCCAATAAGAACACTTTCAAATGAGAAGGTATTATAGGGTTTCAAATATTTAAGCTGCATTTACACCATACTAATATTCCATGATTAAATCTCAATTATCCAATTACGACGACAATAAAGACTAATACACCATGATTGAAGCCAAGCCCACCTTTCTTTTATTTATTTTTTAAATTATAATAATAAAAAAGAAATTATCTTCCCTTAACAGCACATAATCCACTAATTTCATCACCATTTTTTCCCCCTTTTCTTTTCAATCATTATTTAATTATGTACTTCCAATTTTAAAATTTGGGGGTAGCCCTTTCTACTGTTGCTGACGTGTCGGCCACCATATTTATTCACACCCTAAACCTATCCTACGCGGCGTGTGTAATTTCACGTGCTCAATCCCCATTCGTCCATTTCAAAGTCAAACATCACACGCGCCACGAACCCTCCTCCTTCCCTCCCTCTCTCCACGCCTGTTTGGCACAACACTCTTTTTCATATTTTTGGAACCAAATATTTTAACTTAATTAATTTCCTTTTATTTTTTAATAACTATGTCGAATATCGTTGCTTTAGACAATATTGTATTTTAATTATTGTTTAATTATTTTGATTTTTCATTAAAGATCAAACTTTAATGTTGTATGATTAAATTAAAATTTAATCTTTTTTAATCTTTAAAATTTCAAAGACAAATTATTAATAATTCTTCTCAAATAAGGAGAAAAAAATAAAAATTATATTGATATAATCACTATTTTATCACGTGACAAAAATATGATTCCAAGTCAAAATCTCGTAGTATCACATTTTATTTATTATTGTTAAGCATTCATTTGAAAAGAAAATGAAAACGCAACTCGTTGCGAAAAGTCTTTGTAGAGTCTAATATGATCTTAACTATTTTATTACTCATTTACATTCCTCTGCTACCCTTCTTCTTAAAGCCTCTGTTCATGCCCCCTGTTTCATTAACACCCCCACCTCCTTCTCTCTCCTTCTCTCTCCTTCTCTCTCCTCTGTTCTAACTCCAACTCCATCCTCAACAATGGAGTTCTGCAAATTCTGTGCTTTCCTTTTCCACTTCTTCACGATTCTCTTACTAAACAGAGCTTCTGCTCAACAAGAAGCCTCTGTTGATGGCGCTTCTCAGAAAGCAGCATTGCTTTCGTTCAAAAACGCCATCGTTTCTGACCCACGGAACTATCTCAAGGACTGGGAATCATCTTCAACGCTTCATTTCTGCAATTGGGCTGGCATTAACTGCAACAATTCAACCCAAGAAATCGAAAAGCTCGATCTCAGCGATAAATCCCTCAAAGGCACAATTTCTCCATCTCTTTCTTATCTCTCTTCCTTAACCATTCTCGACCTCTCTAGAAACTGGTTCCAAGGTTCAATCCCAATGGAGTTGGGGTTTCTTGTTAATCTCCAACAACTCAGCTTATCATGGAACCACCTCCATGGAAAAATCCCCACAGAGCTCGGATTTCTTCAGAAATTGGAGTTTCTCGATCTGGGTAGCAACAAACTCGACGGGGAAATTCCTCAGATGCTGTTCTGTAATGGGTCGAATTTGTTTTTGAAGTATATAGGTTTGTCGAACAATTCGTTAGGCGGCGAAATCCCTGTAAGAAATGAATGTCATTTGCCAGAGTTGATGTATCTCCTGCTTTGGTCAAACAAATTGGTGGGACAGGTTCCTGCGGCGCTTTCGAACTCCGCCCAATTGAAATGGCTGGATTTGGGGTCAAATAAGCTCACCGGGGAGTTGCCTTCTGAAGTTGTTGCCAAAATGCCATTGCTGCAGTACCTTTACTTGTCTGACAACGAGTTCATTAGCCATGATGGTAACTCAAATCTCCAACCCTTTTTTGCTTCTTTGATGAATTCTTCAAAGCTTCGAGAGCTTGAGTTAGCTGGAAACCGTCTTGGTGGAGAGATTCCTTCCATTATCGGTGATCTTCATGTCAATCTCTCACAGCTTCATTTGGAAGGAAATCTTATCCATGGCTCGATCCCTCCTTCCCTTTCAAACCTTAGAAATCTTACCCTTTTGAACTTGTCTAGTAACCTTCTAAATGGAACCATTCCTTCTGAGCTTTCCAGATTGAGGAATCTCGAGAGGTTTTATCTCTCAAACAATTCACTTTCTGGTGAAATCCCATCTTCCCTCGGGGAAATTCCTCGTTTGGGTCTTCTTGATTTGTCTAGAAACAACCTCTCTGGCTCTATTCCAGAGGCTTTGGCTAATCTTTCCCAGTTGAGAGAATTGGTTCTTTACAGAAACAGTCTCTCAGGAACAATCCCATCAAGCTTGGGAAAATGCATCAACTTGGAGATTTTGGACCTTTCTAGCAACCAAATTTCAGGGGCTATTCCTAGTGAAGTTGCAGGATTAAGGAGCTTGAAATTGTATTTGAACCTCTCAAGCAATCATTTACAAGGGCCGTTGCCATTGGAGCTCACCAAAATGGACATGATCCTTGCAATCGACTTGTCCTCCAACAATCTCTCAGGTTCAATTCCATCTCAGCTTGAAAACTGTATTGCACTAGAAATCCTCAATCTATCAGGCAATTCCTTTGATGGGCCTTTGCCGATTTCAATTGGGCAACTCTCGTATCTCCGAACATTTGATGTTTCTTTCAATCAGTTAACTGGGAACATCCCAGACAGTCTTCAAACATCTTCAACTCTCAAACAGCTCAACTTCTCCTTCAACAAATTTTCAGGGAGAATCCCAAACGATGGAGTGTTTTCATGGCTGACAATCTCATCGTTCCTTGGAAACAATGATCTGTGTGGCTCAATCAAAGGCTTACCAAAATGCAGAGAGAAGCACAAGCGCCATATCCTCTCAATTTTGATGTCTTCATCAGCAGCTTTGGTGTTCTGCATGATTGGGGTTTCATTAGCAGCTCTAAGATCCAAAATGAGGAAACGTTTCGCAGTTTTCAACAAAAGGGATTTGGAAGAAGGTGAAGAAGAAGAAGAAGAAGAAGAAGAAGAAGCAGAGAGAAAAGATAGAAAGTACCCAAGAATCTCGTACGGACAACTTGTGGAAGCCACTGGTGGGTTCAGCTCTTCCAGCTTAATTGGGTCCGGAAGATTTGGAGATGTGTACAAGGGAATTCTAGCAGACAACACCAAAATCGCAGTGAAAGTTTTGAATCCAATAAGAACAACAGGGGAAATCACAGGGAGTTTCAAAAGAGAATGCCAAGTTTTGAAAAGAACAAGACATAGGAATTTGATGAAGATCATAACAACATGTAGTAGGCCAGATTTCAAGGCTTTAGTTCTTCCATTGATGTCGAATGGGAGCTTGGAAAGCCATATGTATCCAAGGCAGGGACAAGAACAAGAACCCAATTGGTGTAAGATTGATTTGGTTCAAGTGGTGAGCATTTGCAGCGATGTGGCTGAAGGAGTGGCGTATTTGCACCATCATTCGCCGCTCAAAGTGGTGCATTGTGATCTTAAACCGAGCAACATTCTTCTTGATGCAGACATGACAGCTTTGGTCACTGATTTTGGAATTTCCAAATTGGTGAGCGGTGGAGAAGATCAAAATGATTCGGCTTCCTTCAGTTCAACTCATGGCTTGCTCTGTGGATCTGTTGGTTACATCGCTCCTGGTAAGTTCGCTAATTAAACGAATTACAGTTGTTTTTATGGCGTAAACTCATCTTCTCCGCCGTCAAAAACGCAGAATATGGCTTAGGAAAAAGCGCATCAACAGAGGGGGACGTGTTCAGCTACGGAGTACTTCTTTTAGAACTCATAACAGGGAAACGGCCAACAGACCATTCTTTCCAGCAAGGAGCAGGGCTTCACGAATGGATCAAAAGCCAATACCCACACAGCCTAGACCCTTTAGTCGACGACGCCATGGATAGATACTGCAGGGCGGCGGAGGCGGTGACTGGGCGAAGGCCTTGCAAGAGGCTGTGGCGGGAAGTGATAGTGGAAGTTATAGAAATGGGGGTGATGTGCACGCAGTTCTCGCCGTCGATGAGACCCACCATGGTCGACGTGGCTCAAGAAATGACGCGTTTGAAGGAATATCTCTCGCATTCTTTGTCGTCGGTTTATACGCGGCGGCGATGATGTAAATTATTAACGGTGGTTGTTGATCCATTTGTTTCCGGACATGGTTTCATCAACTTAAATTTTGTGTAGTTTTCTTTTTTTAAAAAAAAAAAAAATATATATATATATATATTTATTGGATTATTTGTTTGTTTCCTAATTAGAATTAATCAAAATATAAAGATTGAATGGAGTGGATAAAAACTCAAAAATGGAGGCGATTTGTTACTGCTGTAGAGTTGACAATTATTCGTTGACATTTTTAATTTCAGGAGGTAGTAGCCGTTAAACAGCCGCCCTAAATCTAATTACTGAATATTATTTCAATAATATAATAATAAACAATTAAAAATCATGCCCAATATTTTGTTTGGTAATAAATGATCCAAATTGTTGATTAAAAACATTTTAGCGTTGAAACTTAAAGTCAATCATCAAACTACTCGTCATAACAATCATGCCTTTATACTATTAATAATTTTTTTCAATAATTATTAAAATCTCGACTAGCAATTTGTAATAGCCTAAGCTCGAGTCCACCGCTATCTGATATTGTCCGCTTTAGTCCATTATGTATCACCGTTAGCTTCACTGTTTTACAAACATGTCTACTAGAGAGAGGTTTAATGATTTGTTCCCTGCTCCAACCGACGTGAGATTTTACATATCAGATAAAAACAAACAAACAAAGTAAACTAAAGTGTTTCGTGATAAGTCGCATATACTCTTTAATGGCTGATGACGTTCAAAAGTTGACAATGTAAAAAAGTTTCATGTCTATTTCAACTTAAAAATGTTATCGACATTTTAGGTAGGACCGAAAAAGTAGAATTACAAGATTGTACTGAATGACTTTGTTCTTTTGAACGTTATGGTCGAAGAGTATAAGATATGATAATTGAAGTGATGAATAATGGAAGATATTGAGGCCCATGACACTGTAATTTCAGATTGAAAGACAAAAAGGTGTAAACTGAGTAATGATAACTGAAGCTATGAGTGACTCATAAGGTTGGTATCATGGAGAAACATACCTGCTTTGATTTCCCACACAAAGCAATAAGAATGGTGAGCTTTTGTTATTGTAAGTGGGGTGAGCATTGTGGTTTGATATCATTTGCTCCTACTTCAAAGCTCCATTGGAATATCTATATCTCAACCATTTGTGTCCATTATCTACAAATTTATTTATGTTCAACACAAGATTGCTTCCCATTTCAAGTAATTTATTAATCTAATCTCAAAAGGGTATGTCGTTTTGTCAGAGTTTGTGGATTTGTACCAGAAAAGAGATCATGATATATCTTGGTAAGCCAACTTTCTCAAAGGTCAACATAAAAACATCAAAAAGTTTACAAAATGAGTAGCCTTTTGTTGGATACTGCTATAGGAGATATATCTTATGTACTTTTGTTGAAAAAGATAGAGGGATTGTGGAATCCTTCCAAATAAGAGCTTGTTAGCAACAATAGATTGCAACGAGACGAATCTAAGATCTACAGCAAAGCGGGGTATTAACCCATGATGATGCTCTTGTACTCGAACTGAAATTGTTTTGAAATAAAGTTTGCTAAGATCAGGTCGGAAGGTGTGAATATTCCTAACTACCTATTGTTGGTTCGGTTAGGTTAGCCGACAGATGGTTAAGTTATCGGTTCAATGACGCAAGATGTCCTTAGGGTGCGACCTAGCCCGGGAGTAGTGCATTTAGTATAGGATAGATAGCTCTACATGGGGTGTGCTAAAAAACTAGGAGAAGAACGAAACTAAGCAGATCAATTCCTGTAATTGAGAGCTGGTTTTGATCATGATTGCAGTAGAAGATGATACAATAAATTCTTATGATTCTTCAGTTAATACAATAAATTCCATCTGAATGGTAGGTTAAAAGAGAGCTGGTTTTATGTACAGAATTATGCCATCTGATCTATACACTTTACAGATTCTATGAACTCAAATCCATTCTATCCTGTCTGTTGAAGAAAATCAAACGCAAACTAAGTCGGATTCATCAACAAAACTCACAGTCAAAACAATAACTTTTGTTGAACTTCACGGCTGTAGAACACAATGCTTCATCAAAACCAAAAGTACAGCATTGCCTGTCCATTAAAAAAACAGTATTTTTCAGTAAATTTGTAGCATATGTTGTTGTTAATGACAAAGGAAAGGAGTTTTTTTTATAGGCTAATACCTCTTGTAGAAGATCGAACATCGAGCTGTGCACCGCACGTTGCTGCATGAGTTTGAAACTCCTCATCTCGGATTGAATAGAATTCAGCTGTTTTTGTATCTCCTGCAGCAGTCTCATCTCCTCTGCCCCTGCACTACTAATCTCTTGCCTTATACTGCCTCTATTCTGTTCCAGCTGATTTATTACACGGCAAAGTTGCTGAAAAGGTTGAGATTCAGCAACAATTTCATCAATTTGTTGTATAGCTTTTCCTTTCCTTGATTTTGATGATTTGTTCTTCAGGGTTTTGCAACTAGAACCATTCTTTGCCTTGGTTTTTTGCTCATGTTCATAGTACAGTCTAAACGGTTCAATGGGTAATGGATCTGGCTTTCCTAGTCTATTTTCACCTTCAAATATCAAATTTTTCTGAAGTTGAATCTTAGCTTGACAAGTTTTAAGAGTAATATTCTGTTTGTTGGCCTCTGGGATCTCGAAAATATCATGAACACTTGACAAAGAAGAAGAACATTTTGGGCTTACACCAGGTTTATCTTGAATGCTTGAAGGGCAAATAGCAATCCCACCATTCAAACATTCAAATCTATCTTCACCACTACCTTTAGGATCAGATATCTCTTTTATTTGTTCATCTAACATTTCGATTTGTTCCCACGAACAACGGTTAGGATGTCGCACGGTACTCGGGCAGCAATCCAGTTTAAGGATCTCAAATGCCTCCACCATTTCTGCAGCATCTCTTTCGTCGACTTGACTCGGAGGCAGCGACTTTGCTCTTCTCACCTTGGTTTCTCCATTTGAACCCCCCAAGTCCTTGTTTTGAACCAAATCTTTATCTGCAAATCTAGGTTCACAAGGACCTAAATCAGGGCAACCCAAACTCAACAGTTTATACCTATAAGACTCCACTTGAAATTCCAGAGAAGCAACTTCCATTTCTTTTTGATATATCATATCTTCAAACCCAGCAAGATAATCTTCAGCATGGGATATTTGTTCCTCTGCCATTCTTTGATATTGACTTGCTTCCATCTTCATAGCAGCCTTTTCTTCTTGCAAACGCAGAATCATCGATAGGGCTTCACTTGCTGCAGTGGCTGACGCTTCCCTTTCCTTGTCCAGCTCTGTATAAAGCTTCTGTAGAAGCTGTTGTCCAGCTCCAAGTGCTTCTTTCACACCTTGAATCTCAGATTCTGAAACACTTTCACCCATTGCACCCTCCCTTATGATACAACCCTTATCTCTTATCAATCAAACACCACAGAATTCTGCTAATCCTACCTCAAACTGAGATGGGTCGATCTAAAATCGTCACAATCAAAAATACAAAACAACTGGGCGTCACAAACGACTCGCATAAAGGGTTTGAAACTCCATAAAAAGCAAGCACAAACGATATCCCAAAAGCAGGCTGAAGGGGTTCGCAAGTTTCAACGTATTATCGATGATTTCCCCAAAAAAGGGTAATGGGGTGAATTAATTTCAGCGTTTTCGTTGATGATTTCCCAGAATCAGGCTAAAGGGGTTTGTTAGTTTCACCGATTTTGTTAAATGATTTCCGAGAAACAGACAAAATGGGTTGAAAAGGTTTCGACAAACCCAAGGACAAAGATGTCTGCAAGAAGGAAAACCGCCATGAACGAGAAGAACAAGAATAAGAACTCACCTGGCTATGAAGATAGGGGTTGCAGCGATTTTCGGAGGGAAATCAAGCCTAATAAAAAACATAGACGGGGAGAAATGAGAGAGAATCGCAACATTTGAACCCAAATCAGAGTCCACACAATCATTGAACCAGAAAATGGCGGTTTTGGACGCTACAGATCACAGAACGGAGCGCTAGAATATAGAAAACCGTTGAATTTGCAAGAAAACTGATACCCCCAATTCTAAAAACAAAAGGAATAAGAAACATCTAAAAAGATTTTGATTTAGGAATTAAATATTTTATGTAATATATAAGAACAAGCATGGGTTTGATAATGGACACATTAATAGGTCTATCAAAATAATGACTCGGAAAAAAAATATATAAATCTGTATATATTGAATTTTAAAACCAATTTTCAGATATAATTTTTACATATTTAAGCTAAAATCTGAGAGATTCAAAATAATAATAATAATAATATAATTTTTACAAAAGGTCGTTAATCGTTAGTGACGATTGTAACGGCTACAAAGCCGCCAACTTCTCAGCGTGTCCCGGCGTGGGCTCCCCCCTTTGAGCCGACCAATTCTTGTGGTCTCCTATTTTTAAGGGGAAAAAAAAAAACATAAATTAAGGAAATGATTGCATCCTCTCTTGTTTTGTTTTCAATATCATGGGCCTCATGTATGGGTCAATTAAAATTTAGCGAAATGAATGGGCTTCAAGTTTTAAACCAGCCCAGCAATAGGCCCAAAATCCGTTGGTACATTATTAATATCAAATAGTACGTAGAAAAATAAAATAAAAAATAAAAATAAAAAATAAAAAAAAATGTGATTTTGGGGCAGCATAAATTGGAGACCATAATGGTATTCTATGTCGACATCAACCACAACAATCATCCTCCAAATCAAAACAAAAGTACAATTACTTGCCGGGCCCACTCAATTATTTTTCTTTCATCCAAAACATTACAAATTTTAGAACCGCCATTGTCGGTTGCTTTAGTTTTATTATAAATCATAATTATGAATATGTGTCCTCCATTTTAGTTTCATTCCAATTTAGTCCCATAGTACATTTCATAAATTCTAATTACATTTATAAAGGCTAAAATTGTTTTGGACATACCTCATTTTTACTACTATTTCTCATAGTTCGATAACATATAATAAACCTTATTTAGATCGAAAATTTTGATCTTAGCATGTAGCTTCTGAAGATAATGTAAATCTTTGAACTTTAAGCTAATCTATGTAACTTGTATGTCTTGCCTTATCTCGCAAGTCTTAGGCTGCTTATGGACTTCAAGCGTGAATTAATCGATAATCCAGACTTGTTATAGAACTAATTGGCAATTCTCTATTTTGACAAAGAACAGTCACATGAGGAAATAATGAAGAGTACATATCAAGACATGCAAATATTTGTTTTGTTATCATGGACATGCAAGTTGAGCACATGAGACACTTATACTATTGTGGGTGGGGACATTTTTAATTTACCATTCTTATTCTTCTTATTATTATTTTTTTAAAAATCTCTCTCAACTCATTTATGAGAGGGATTTTCTGTCGATCAATGAATTATTATTGGGTTAAAAAAATAATGTAAATATTATGAAAAAGGTAATTATTAATTGGCCATCATTTGATCTCCTCTACCAAATTCACATTTTTTTTCAATACAAAATAGTTTTAATTATACCTTTTTAATTTCCATCATCATTAATCATACCAAAATTTTCCGCTCATTGCTCAATCAATCATGACCCTTTTTCTCCCCCCATCTAATTATTTATTTATTTATTTATTTAATTTTAAAATGTATCTAATAAATATTGAATATATTTTAATTTCTTTTAAAAAGAATACGATATATTCTAATATAAAACTATATAATATCTTGTTAAAATAAATAGAACCCACATTTATTCGAAGGAGTGGAGTACTGGTGCAGCTAAAGCATATAGTTAGGGCGGCCAGCTGGTTGATGTGGATATAAGCTTCATTACTCATATGCACAACCCACATGCACTCAATCACTCCAACTCATTTTATTTCCTCTTCTTAATTTATATATATATATATATATAACACTTTAAAAAATACAAAATGTTCACGTATATTCTTTAGTGTAATTCTTTTTTATTTTCAATTGTTTAATAAAAAAAAATGTTTCAGAAACTATTTTATAATTTGTAAAATTATAGATTAACCAGAATTTAGAAGATTCGGTTAAATCCTGACCGTTAAAATCCCTAATCTTAATGTTAAAACTCGTTTGACACGTAAGTTCGGTCAATAAAAGGAAACTCGGCAGTCAAAGAGATTTTTTCTTTATTTTTGATTGGCTGGGGGCCACGTTGGAAAAAACGGTGGCGCACGCCGCATTGAATTTTATAATTGCATTTTAAAACTAATTGCATTAATATTATATTACCTTTCCAAACTTGCCCATATTTTCCAACTATTAATATTTTTTCATTAAATCCCTGAATATTTAGGTCAAAGATACAGAATTTGAAGACGTTAATACCTAGCTACGTCACCACTAAAGTCTTGATTTAATTTTTAGCCAATAAATTTAAATGTATTTTATTCACTAAATTATTAATTCATCTTATTATTATTATTTTTTATAAATTGATTCTAGTATACTCTTTAATAACTGTACTTTCAAATGATGGATCGAAACTAAAAAAGCTAGTTTATAAATGGACTAAATGTGAAACTAACGTCACATTTTAAATAATTTAACTTATTTTATATAGTTATAACTTAAATAAGAATTATTATTCTTTTTATTTATATTTACAATGTAATATTTGAAAAGGAAGACAACAATGATTAATTTAGTAGACTTTATTTAATAAACAAAAAATATATATATATATTTAAATGGTCTAACGTAATGAAAAGGGAAAAGAGTAGAAAAGGAGATGAAGTTGGTGAGGAGACATTTTTAATTGTGTTGGTAGATAAAAAGAGACAAATAAATAAATAAATAAATAAATAAATAAAAGAATTTTGAAGAATGGAGGTGAGAATGACCTAATTCCCTGCCCCATTACACTTCCAATCTCCATCTTCCACCTCCCCATGTCCTTAATATTTATGCCTCACATCCCTTTCTCATTTTATTTAATTAATTCAAATCTGATTTTTTTTACTTTCCTAATTCATTAATACAAATAATAATAATAATAATAATAATAATAATAATAATAATAATAATAATAATAATAATAATAATAATACTTAAGCTTTATGCCTTACCTGGCTTATTTTAATGTTAGTGCAAACTAAATAGTGAGGCGTATCTAACAAAACACTATATGGTATTATAGAACTTTAATAACCCAAGTTCGATACTATGTAACTATAACAACCCAAGTTCACTGCTAACATATATTGTCTACTTTGACCCGTTACGTATCACCTTCAATCTCATCGTTTTAAAACGCGTCTAATAGAGAGAGATTTTCATACATTTATAAGAATGTTTCGTTCCTCTCTATAACCGATGTGAGACCTCACAATCAACTCCATTGGGGTCCAGGGTCTTGACTGGCACATCACTCCACCTCTAGTAGATATTGTTCGTTTTTGCCCGTTATATATCGCCGTCAGTTTCACGATTTTAAAAAGCGTAGAAAAAAAAAAAAAATCCTTTATAGCCCCATTATTCTCTTCCCATTCCACCTCTTGATTTGGAGGAATGAAAAAACATTTTTGTTTTGTTTGGATTCAATTAATGGCTGCCCATGCTCTAACGTCTCCTAAAAAAAAGTAAAAAAAAAAAAAAAAAAAAGTTATTTTATATTTTATTTATGAAAATTATTTGTCGGGAGTATTTTTATTTTATGGAAGGGTAATTTTTATTTGATAAAAAAAATGTTAAATAGGTCTTGTGTAAAATACAATTTGCTTTTGTGATTTATTTGACCTAGTTTGGAAAATTAAACGATTTATTTTAAATTAATTTATATTTTGAGTAATATCTTATCAATGGATCTTATTTATAAGAAAAGTTTAAGAAAATAGGTGGCGCGAAAGCAAACTGTCTTCCATGGTCCCTACCTTCTCAACAAGTCCTAAACATAACCGTTTTCTCATTTTTCAATTAATTCAAAAATTAATTAATTTTAATATTTTATGTTAAAAAAGAAGCGCTTTTATTTTTCTTCTCCCTCTCTTAGAACTTGTTCGAAAATCTGAACTCCATCAATTCTGCCCGCTGCAAAGAACCTTGTACGGCTAATTCTCTTTCCAGTTCTTTAAACCTTATCGCCTTCGTTCGTAACCCTACGGATTTCTCCGATCGAATTTCTTCTTATTTGCTTTAATTTTTAGTTCGGAATTTATTCGTCGGTGAGCTTTTCCGATTCGCCGCGTGATTGGTTTGGCCGTACTGGTGAGAACTTGTTTTCTTCAACCTCTATGACTTTCTTCTCTTTTCTCGTATTCGAAGTTCTAATTTGCGACTGAGGTTCTTAGATGATGTCGTCCTCCTTGAATTAGTTCTATTCGAATTTCGATTGAAATATTTCTGCGAGTTCTTTTATTTTTATTTTTATTGTCTTTTCTTCTTTTTTTAGTAGCTTCGGAGTTCGCAGATTCCGTTTTTGTTCTCTATAATAAGTTTGAAACATTTCACTCATTTCCTGTCTCGTGGATCGTCTGTAAAAGGTGTTGGATCCTTTTTTCTTTTTTTAAACTATAATTACTGAAATTTCTTTGTCGTATTTGTATTTTCTGAAATTTGAGTATGTCTCGTGGATTTATTTATATTCCTCTCTATGTAAGATCTCTGAAGCTATTGTCGAGAGATTTATATGAGCAGTAAGGGCTAGTATGCCGGTTTCCAGCATCAGATGCACGAATCTGTTGAAATCCTTTTAACTTATTTTATTTTATTTTGCTGGATTTCAGAAATTATTGCATTTATTAACAGCTGCACCTGAATTATGAAGTTATGAAGAGGAGAATATTAATCCGGAGAGTTCAAATGGAAACTTTGTTCTTATCTAACCTCGCACATAACCATGAATCTTAGTTTCATTTCTATGCGTTTTTTTTTTCGTGTTGACTTTGGTTTTGGTAATCAATATCGATTTATTACGTGCTATGTAAATTCTTAGAACGGACAAAGGTTCTCCTTCCACGTGGAGTGGGCATCCACCATTTGCTCACAAGCAAATTGAATGGTGTCTTGAATGGTATCTTGGGTCAAATAATGAGAAAAATGACAGTTGGAGTGAATGTTACCTTTTCAATTTCACCTGGTCCTTAGACCTACGAGTATTATATCTTATGAGATAGTTGGGTAATGGAACTTCTTTACTTTTCCAAGTTTCAGAATTGTTTTTAATGAGAGGCATTTATGAAAAAGAGAAGTTCGCAGAGAAGATGAAGTGAACCAAATGGCAAGGTCCATATAGTGAACCAGATAGTCGGAATGTACAGAATCATTCATGTTTACAGCCCAACCATCCATAGCCGAATAAGGTCCCGTTAAGCTCCACTTCCCTTTCTTATCCTGTTGTGACCTGCAAAAGCCCACGTACTCTATCCTTCCAGTTCGGGAGTTTCTAAGGCGACCCCTTTCCTTAAACGCAAGTTGTGTCGAAGCAAGACGAATTTGACGTTTATGCAATTTTTGGCAGTCCTTTTTTAAGCGGCCCTGGATACCCTACCTTGCCCTCGTCTTCCTTGTGGTGGTTCGATCTGCTTGGGTTGAGGGCATTGGTTGATTAGAAACTAAATTAATTCTAGTTTATTTGCTCTGGTGTTTCAAGTTCGCCTTTCAGTTGATTTTTTTGCTGCTGTAGACTGTATGTTCTCTGATTTATTTATTAGATTTTCGTTTTCTCTTTCTTTTCTTTAATGTTGGATTATTCCTTGCTTTTTCGTTCATTCTTTGATTGTGCATTTTTGTGGTGGCAGATGCAATGCTGGTAAAAGGATTTTTCTTTTCGTGAGTGCTGTTTTTCCAGATTCAGGGAATGCGAATTGTGTAGTTATGTGACGAAATCTATCACTATGGTCTGATTTCGATAGTTTGGATGGATGTATGCGAATCGGCGCGGGCATTTAGAAAGCAAACAGTAGCTGCGGCGCCAAGACAACCGTTGGTTCCTGCAGAAAAGAACAATGAAGTTATCACACGGTTTCCCTCGTGTTCCAAGAAAATGTCACCTTCTCCTTCATCGTTGTCTGGTCCTCGGCGTTGCCCATCACCAAGCATCACGCGGACGGTTCATACATCCTCCCAATTGGTTCTTAAAAGAGCTCAATCAGCAGAGAGGAAGCGACCGTCCACACCCCCTTCTCCAAGCCCGGCCGTACCGATTGATGGTTCAACAGCAGATTTACAGTTGCTATCGAAAAGAATGATTGGTGGTCGACCTGATAGCTTATGGCCCTCTACGATGAGAAGTTTGAGCGTTTCGTTCCAATCTGATACAATTTCTATTCCTGTTAGTAAGAAGGAAAAACCCGTGTTATCATCTCCTTCTGATCGAACTCTTAGGCCTTCTTCCAATTTTCCTTCTAAGCAGGCCGAGACGCAAACTGTTGCACGGAAGTCCGCGCCAGAAAGAAAGAGGAGTCCATTTAGAGGTAAAAATGGGCACGATCAATCAGAGAATTTCAAACCAGTTGCTGGGTCACGTACCCAATTCATAGATCAGCATAGATGGCCTAGTCGAATTGGTGCGAAAGCATCCTCCAATTCATTAAATTGTTGCGTGGATCTCGCCGATAAAAGAGTCCCAATCTTAAATAAGCCACTTAGAGGAAGCGCATTATCTTGTACGGTCGAGACTGTTAGCAAACCTCTACAGAAATCGACCAGTGGTGTTATGAGGCTATCATATGTTGATGGAAGGAGTAGAAAAGAATTTGAGGCAAATTCAGCCAATGACAGTTCAATGCAGGAATCTGCAGCTAACAAGGTTGTTTCGTCAAGTTTAGCAGACATAAAAATAACAACAAACCGAGTTGTGAGATATGACTCGCCTACTCTTGTCCCACGACCATCCTCTGTTACTAGAAGAGCTAGTCCATCTCGAATGACACCATCAACTCCAACTCCTCGAGCAATTATCTCATCACGAATCAGACCTTCAAATGCTACTCAACCCAATGTTTCAACTTCTGTTCTTAGTTTCATAGCAGATTTTAAGAAGGGAAAGAAGGCTACAAGCTATATAGAAGGTGCTCATCAGCTACGGCTTCTATACAATAGACATTTGCAATGGAGATGTGCTAATGCCCGCGCAGAGGCTGTTCTGCATAATCAGGAGGTGGCAGCAGAGGTAGGGTTTCAATGCATGTTGATCTTGTTAGATAATCGGCCCCTTTTGGCAATTACTTGTTGTTTTGCTCTGTTTGAACCAGACGTGATTCCTGTTACTTACGATTGAGAACAGTCTGAAATTTTGATGATTAATTTGCGAAGATATTTGCTACAATTGTTCACATATTTGCTTATGGTCAAGAAACTTAGTTATATTCTGACAGTCCAATTGCCGGACATGATTGCTTGTATACTAAAGTGCAAGTTAAAGATTAAGAACTTTTGTGCTTTGGTGCAGAGAACTCTTCTTGGCGTATGGAATACGACACTAAATCTGTGGGATTCAGTAATCAGAAAAAGGATCAATCTCCAACAGCTGAAGCTAGAGCTCAAGTTGATTTCGGTTATGAATGATCAAGTAATACGATTATTTCATTCAAAACCATTATATATCATTAGTTTAGTTTATACAGCACGGCTGTTTTACACTTTCAGTATAATACACATTCAAAACCATTATTCTCTTTTAGTTAATATGTTAAATCAGAACCTTTCTAGTCCTTTGAATATGGAGTTATAATTCCCCTCCTATTTGTATTTGAACCCTGTCATGTATGCTATATGATTTTTATGTTGCATGTGATTGATGCAGATGAGCTACCTCAACGAATGGGCTGTGCTTGAAAGAAGTCATAATCGATCCTTATCAGGTGTTATAGACGATTTGGAGGCGAGCACTCTTCGTGTTCCATTGACTGGAGGAGCAAAAGTATGCTACAATGGCCAGTAATTTGTTTTAACTATGGGGGAAACAGAATATTGGTAACTTACAGTAATTTGCTTGTTTACAGGTAGATGCGGGCTCTTTAAATGATGCTATTTTTTCAGCCGTTGAGGTGATGCAAGCAATGGGATCCTCCATTTGCTCCATGCTCCCAAGGGTAAACTTGCATAACTCCACCTTGAATGTTATCGATCTTTAATAGCTTGTCTCCACATCTTCCTTGAAATAAAGTGACTCTGCAAATGTTATGGACATTTACCAATCTTGTCATCTTATAATGCAATTGATGTTCGTAGAGCTTGAGAATTAGAATAAATCTGATCATACTAGCTAGAGGAGATAAAATTAATGATGCAAGTATCTAAACCTTTGTAAACCATCAAACTGCCTGTGATTTGGATTTCTCCCCCTCTTCTTTTGAGGAAATACGTCTTTTAGGACATTGAAAACGTAATTAATTGAATTGTTTGCTAATGTTTGGATGGGCAATGTTTAAATATTTATAACTATTTATACTTCAAACTCCATGGTCGGGAGCTTCAATGCTTTCTTTTCTGCTGTTCTAGTCTGTGTTATCTACTGTTCATCATCGTCTTATTTGTTTTTCAGGTGGAGATAATGCAGACGTTGGTTATTGAACTTGCAATTTTAGCAGCCCAAGAAAAGGCTATGCTTGATGAATGTATAGCATTGTTGGCATCAACAGCAGCTTTGCAGGTGGGGATTACATTTCACTGTCGTATAAATTGACGAATAGATTTACTTGTCTTGATCTTATTTGGAACCTTTTATTGTCCCACAAATCTCATTGATGGGAATAGGAAAAACTATTGCCCAAATTTTATGTATTTTGTTCACTGAGTTTTGGTTCATTCCTCTTCATGAAGCTCATAACTGGTGGATAAGAGCTGTTCATTTAACGAGAATAAAGTGCATATTGCAATTATCTATCAGTTTTTGCAATTGCATATTAGTAACAGTATGCCATTCGAAAGCAGGTTCAGGAGCAGAGTTTGTGGACGCATCTCATACAAACAAAGGAACGATTGGAAAAGGGCTGCCTGGTTTAGGCGTTTAAAGGCAAGCTTCCCAACCTGACCGGCCCTGCTAGGCTAAGCAAGCTAACAACAAAGCCCATTTTGTTACCTCACTGAAAGATGAGTCATTCTTCCAAATCAGTCTTCCCCCGCATGTAAATTCATTCTTTAGATTCTCACCGGGAGTTTGTAGCTGTAGATCCTTTTATTTATTTATTTAATTTTAATCTATTCCTCATTTAAAAATTTTCTTCAACCTTTTCCATTGCAAGAGCTCTCTGGCTTATTCTTTCCACCTTCAACTCCAGATCTGCTAAACAATTTCTCGAATATTTGATTATATTTTGTAGGTGGTGAAATAAGGATAATAAAATACCATGTCATTCCAATGGTCCTTAAACTTAAAAAATAGATATAGTTCTATATGATTTTTAAATTATTTTTGACTATTTGTTAGCCTAGTGCACAAGTGATGACATGGCAGCTAGATGTCGAGGTAGTAATGGCTGATGTGGCAAATTTAAATTAGGTGGCGATATTTATTAAATTAGTGAAAGAGAAAGTCAAAGACTAAATATTTTTCAAGACTTGAAAGAATTATAGGCATCGAACTCGGCACCACCTACAGCTGTGTCGAGATAGGAGGATTCTGTGTATGGATGTGTTCATGAAATGTATGTAGGCTGAGGATAAATGCTACTAAAATTGATCTCTAGCAAATCAACAGCTTCGACATCAACGTCAACGCCATTCTGAACGTAATGGCTGAGGCCAAGACTGCAGGGGTGAAGAACTCTGTGAAGGAGACGATTGAGTGGAACCCGTTGGTGGAGGTTGATGAACAATGAGCACGAGGACAAGCTGGAGGAGCTTGAGGGTATTTGTAATCCCTGTTAGACGAACACAACTCTCCACAGTGGTATGATATTGTCCACTTTGAGCATAAGCTCTTTTGTTTATAAACTCAATCATTCCCTAAATTAGCCAATGTGGGACTTTCATTATCCAGCAATCCCATCATTGAAAAGTGTATCAGGGCGGCGCTGGCGGCGGTCCTTCGATGAGTGACGATAATATGCTTGGTCGGGCTCCCTCCGAGTTCGCCAGTGGTTCTGGACCAAAGATTGAGAAGGTTGTATATATATATATATATATATATATTAAATGAAAAAGAAAAAAAAAATGTATTTTAAAACTTTGACAGAGTTATTTCATAATTAATTTATGTAATAATCAACTAAAGTTGGATAGATATAGTGAGCTTAGAGAAATTTATGCCTTGCTTTTTGTATGAAAATAGATAGAAGTAAAATAATAATAATAATATAAATGATTTATAAATAAAAAATAAAAAAAACGAGAAACATTGGGTAAAAAAAAGAAATGATATATAACAATAAAACTGGAGAGTGGGAATTAAGAGTAAGTTAATCAGTCAAGAAGAGATAGAGAGACAACAACATCCTTACCTAACCATTTGAAGTCCTTTTGGTTTACAAGTTTTCAAGTTCTTGCATTCTAAGAATTTTGGTCCTTTTTCACCTTATAATCATTATGGGAAAGAGAAAAAAATCGCATCAATACCATATAGTATGTAAATACTAATACTAATGTGCGTTACAGTTAGAAATAAGATAATGATTTATTAACTTTTACTTTAGCTTATAATGAACCAATTATGGGACTTTTGAATGATCACTAGCAAAGGTTAATGAGTTGACTAGCTGTAATTCATGAAGAGGAACCATTTGAAAGTAAAGAGAGACTGAAAGCAAAAGAGCAACGTCCCTTAAAGGATAAGATGAATACAGAAGTAGAAGAGACGTACATGTCAGCTGAACGGTGAGATCCCACGTCGGTTAGAGAGAAGAACAAAACATTTTTTATAAGGGTGTGAAAATCTCTCCCTAGTTTTTAAAATCTTCAGGAAAAATTCGTAAAAGAAAGTGCAAAAACGACAATATCTACTAGTGGTGGGCTTGAAGGGCTTGAAGCTGAACTTCAAGATGGGACTTTGACATAGCAACCAACTCACCACCCATTTCATCAGACACGTTAGGTGAAGGCAATTGAATATCTAATGCCACCCTATTCAGTCTCTACCTTTTGCCTTCATAAACACACGTTACTTGCTTCAAACTCTCATTTTTCATTGAACACTTAGTCTCCCTGTGTTGCTCGCCAGCCATGGAAGCCAGCGCAGGACTTGTCGCTGGTTCTCACAACCGCAATGAGCTTGTTGTCATTCATGGCCATGAGGAGGTGATGAACTTAATTGATCAGAAAGTGCAGTGGGAGAAGGTTTTGGTTTGTTTAATTGTCACTGATATGGGTGTGTATTTGTTTTGTTTTTTGTTCTGCAGCCGAAGCCATTGAAGAACTTGGACGGTCAAGTTTGTGAGATCTGTGGTGATGAAGTGGGGCTTACTGTGGATGGTGATCTGTTTGTTGCCTGCAATGAATGTGGTTTTCCAGTCTGCAGACCTTGTTATGAGTATGAAAGAAGAGAAGGAAGCCAACTGTGTCCTCAGTGTAAAACTAGATATAAGCGACTTAAAGGTGAAATACAGAACGAAGGACTATGCAATAACAAGTTTCGAGTTTTCTTTTTTCTTAAACTCTCTCTTTTTGGGTATTGTGAAGGGAGTCCGAGGGTCGAGGGAGATGATGATGAAGAAGACATAGATGACATTGAACATGAATTCAACATTGATGATGAGAGGAATAAGCACAGTCATATGGCAGAAGCTATTCTTCATGGAAAGATGAGCTACGGTAGAGGGCCAAATGATGATGAAAATGCACAGTATGGAAGAACAGAGCTAGTGAGTGGGCAAACCTTTCATTCTTTAGCCTCTGTTTGGAAATCTTTTTCCTAATTAATATTGCATACCAGGAAAATGTTGAGCTTCCTTTATCATCCCAGGGTTATGGAGATCAGATATCATCTTCTTCACTGCACAAACGAGTGCATCCATTTCCAGCTTCTGAACCAGGTAAATTTTCTGCACCCCATTGATCCTGCATTAAATTGTCCCAAAGATACATGAAGTTTTGTTATCATACGGTATCCGATATGCTTTAAAAAATTCAGGCAGTGGAAGATGGGATGAAAAGAGAGAGGAAGGTTGGAAAGATAAAATGGATGATTGGAAATTGCAGCAAGGCAATCTTGGGCCTGAACCTGATGATGCCAATGACCCTGACATGGCTATGTATGCTTGAACATTTCCCAGTTCAGTCTTTCTAAATTCAGATGTTTGAAACTTTTGTTCGCGGAACTCCATGTGTCAATGACTCGCAAACTGTTGCAGGATTGATGCAGCTAGACAGCCACTATCAAGGAACCAATAGCATCTAGCAAAATTAATCCTTACCGGATGGTTATTGTGGCTCGGCTCGTTATTCTTGCCTTCTTCCTTCGGTATCGGATTCTAAATCCAGTGCATGATGCATTGGGTTTGTGGCTAACTTCTGTGATATGTGAAATCTGGTTTGCATTTTCGTGGATCCTCGATCAGTTCCCCAAATGGTTCCCAATCGATCGTGAAACCTACTTGGATCGTCTGTCCCCTCAGGTAATATCAATTATACAATAGCCTTAAAATGCAAAATAATAATAATAAATGTGTTAGTTTGAATATATTTATCAAAATTTAGAATGCCATCATATGAATGTTGTAATGTAGGTATGAACGAGAGGGCGAACCTAATTTGCTTGCTCCAGTGGACATTTTTGTCAGTACTGTTGATCCGATGAAGGAACCTCCTCTTGTAACAGCTAACACAATCTTATCTATCTTGGCCATGGACTATCCAGTTGATAAGGTTTCATGCTACGTTTCAGATGATGGAGCTTCCATGCTTACCTACGAAGCAATGTCTGAAACTGCAGAATTTGCCAGGAAATGGGTGCCCTTCTGTAAGAAGTTTTCGATAGAACCTCGAGCACCTGAAATGTACTTTTGTGAGAAGATCGATTATCTCAAGGATAAAGTCCAACCAACATTTGTAAAGGAGCGTCGGGCAATGAAGGTAAGCACTTTTAACAAATAAACTGAGAAAGAGAAAAATATAGGAGTGCCACAATTGTGTCTAATATCAAGCCTGAAATATCTTTGGAGCATGTAGAGAGAATATGAAGAATTCAAGGTCAGGATAAATGCCCAAGTAGCAAAAGCCATAAAAGTTCCCACAGAAGGATGGATAATGCAAGATGGAACACCATGGCCAGGCAACAACACAAAAGATCACCCTGGTATGATCCAAGTCTTTTTGGGTCACAGTGGAGGCCCTGATGCAGAAGGGAATGAACTCCCCCGCTTAGTGTACGTATCTCGTGAGAAAAGACCAGGTTTCCAACATCACAAGAAGGCTGGTGCCATGAATGCCTTGGTAACTTGCTCAGTTCCAAGTTTCTCTCTTTCTTGACCCTAGTTTATTCATTTTCCTTCATCTAATCCACAGCATTTTGTTGAATTGCAGATTCGTGTATCTGCAGTGCTTACAAATGCTCCATTCATGTTGAACTTAGATTGTGATCACTACATAAACAATAGCAAAGCAGCAAGAGAGGCAATGTGTTTCCTTATGGACCCTCAAGTTGGAAAGAAAGTCTGCTATGTACAATTTCCACAAAGATTTGATGGAATAGATAGGCATGATCGTTATGCCAACAGAAATACGGTCTTCTTTGATGTAAAGATCCCATCTCAGATGTATTATATATAACTGCTCAAGTGACCAAGCGCTAAATATCATAAAAATAAACTATGTTTCCTTGTGATGCAGATTAACATGCGAGGTTTAGATGGAATTCAGGGTCCTGTATATGTTGGCACAGGGTGTGTTTTCAGGAGACGGGCTTTATATGGTTATGAACCCCCAAAAGGACCGAAGCGCCCAAAAATGGTATGCTGTGACTGTTGTCCATGCTTTGGACGTCGCAAGAAGCTTAAGGGCTCTAAAAGTGGGGTAGATGGAGATGCTGCAGGTGAGTACATTTTCTCAAACTTCAACTTTTATTGGCACTTGTGTCTTGGTGGATACATTACCATCAGATTGTGAGAACTCATAATCGCTTGCTGCTATGAGCAGCGATGGAAGATAACAAGGAGCTGCTAATGTCGCAAATGAATTTCGAAAAGAAATTTGGGCAGTCATCAATTTTTGTTACCTCGACTTTGATTGAGAAGGTGGTGTTCCACCCTCCTCGGGTCCAGCGACCCTACTTAAGGAAGCAATTCATGTTATCAG